TGGTTTTTTGTTTTTGTTTTTTGGGTTTTGGGAGGGTTGGTACTGCAGAAGTCTCAGATATTCCTTTGATTATTGCTTCTCACCCCTTCTTTTCAGTTTCTTTTGGATCTCCTGTTAGAATATATAGGTCTCTTTATTCTAACCTCTGTGATTCTTAGCCTCTTTTTGTTATCTATTTTTAATTTCAAGCACTCTGCTATTTTTAGATGTTTGTTTTCAAACTTGTCTGTTCTTTCATACTGTACTGTCTTATTTCTCCTCCTTTAAAAAGATCTATTGTTTTAAATGTCCTAATTTTATAGTCTCTTATCACCTTTTTAGTTCTTGAGGGCTAATTCTGATTGTCTTATCTACCAACTCTGTCACAATGTACTTTCTCACTTCCTCATAAGATTTAAATATTTGACCATAAATTCATCTTCACTAAGGCAACTTTTACTGTAGGGATTTTGTGTACCCTGGGTCATAGAAGTGTCCCAGAGATGTTTTGTATTTGTCAGAACCCTGAAGAGTCTTACTGGTCCTAGATCAGTTTTAATTTCTCAGTTTGGAGTTCATATACCATGCATATAGTGCTTATGTGTATATACGGTTGACCCTTGAACATGGATTTGAACTGCACAGGTCCACTTTTATCTGGATTGTTTTATTAACTACAGTACAGTACTATAAGTGAATTTTCTGTTCCTTATGATTTTCTCAGTACTTTTTTTTCTCTAGCTTTAGATTACAGCATATAATATGAAAAGTGTTATCGGTAATGATTCTAGTCAATAGCAGGCTATTAAGTTTTTGGGAAATCAAAAATTATACATGGATTTTTAACTATGCAGGGTCTTGGCCCCACTAGCTCCCATGTTTGTTCAAGGGTCAACTCTACTGTGTCCTGGCAGAAGCCTAGTTGTTTTGATTTCTCATAGATGACTTTTTCCCTATTCACTGCTTTGATATGGTTGTCAATCCACTTGTCTACTATGGTTTGGTGCCTATTTTTCTAGTCTCTCTTCTTAAAATAAAAAGAGTCTCTCACTCATGTGTGGAATTTAAGAAACAAAACAGATGAACATAGGGGGGATAAACAGAGAAGTAAACCATTAAAAAGACTCCTTAAAATGGAGAAAAAAACAGGATTGCTGGAGGGGAGGTGGGAAGAGGGATAGGTTAAATAAGTGATGGGTATTAAGGAGGGCACTTGTGATAAGTACTGGCTGTTATACGTAAGTGATGAATCCCTAAATTCTACTCTTGAAACTAATATTACATTATATTTTAACTAACTAGAATTTAAATAAAATTGAAATAAACAAAAAAGAAAGCATATGGGAATAGCCATATGCTTAACTCTTAAAAAATTTTTTTAAAAGGGACACCTGGGTGGCTCAGTCATTAACCATCTGCCTTTGACTCAGATCATGATACCAGGGTCCTGGGATCAAGCCCTGCATCGGGCTGGGCTCCCTGCTCAGTGGGAAGCCTGCTTCTCCCTCTCCCACTCTCTCTGGTTGTGTTCCCTCTCTTGCTATGTCTCTGTCAAATAAATAAATAAAATCTTAAAAAAAAAAAAAAAAAGAAAAGAAAAAGAAAACACTCCTTCCAAGCTTTTAGTACACATGATGTATTGTTTCAGTTCCCTTACCTTACCAGGGCCCAAGTTCATAATCCTATCCACATGAGGGTGTTGAAACTACTCTTAAGGTCTGTAGATGTTTCTGACTCCTCTGAGATGTTATACAATATTAGCTCCCAGCAACATTCCTAGCCTTGAGTATTCTTGCTGCTGACATTTTTGTTAAAAAAAATTCTTTTGGATATATTTTATCCAATATCCAACATGTCCAATATGTTCATTATGTTTGTGGGAAAGGGTATCTGTGTAAATTCAATCTGCTACATTGCCAGATATTTAGTTCATATACTTGCGATAAATATTTGATCCAGAATCTCTACTTCAACTGGATTATTGCTGTAATTTGCTTCCTGGTCTCTCCACATTCAGTCTTTTCCCTATTTACTGTGCCAATGTGTCTTCCTAAAGCATTGCTTTGGCTTTGTTATTCAGTTGTTCAGAAAATTAGCGATGGTTCTTCCACTGTGTAAATTCTTCACTCTGGCATTCAAAGCCTCTCACAGTTTGACCCGCAACTTACTTTTCCAACTCTATTTCCTATCATTTTTCTACATCAACTGTTTTATCCTAGCCAGCTTGACCTCTTACTGTTGCTCAAATATGACAAATTTCTCTACCAAGTTTCTGGACCACTGTCTTTCTCTGGGACATAGCTCAAATTTTACACCCTTATTAAAACCTTACCTTCAATATTGTTTAAGGGTATCAAGGCCTCCCAAGACTGCCTCAAGTTAACTGTTTCTTTCCTTTGCTACCATTTTGTACCTTTATGATATTTTCCACATTCTGTTCTCCACCAGTTATGTTTTGTCCATTTTACTAGATTATAAGCTCTAAATTATGACCTTTACAAGATTATGAGAGTATAGGATGTATTTGTTTTTGTATACTTCAAAACTAGTCAAGGCGTTGAACTAAATAGTGTACAATAAATTCTTGTGAGATAAGTAGGAAATTCACCCTAATAATAAATGCTATGGTAGAGATTTGCATTGAAGTCTAGAAACTTCTGTGTTTGAAGGGCTAGAAATGGGACTGTCTGTCAAGGGAGGGATCCTTTGAAGCAGGAAGAGCTCAGAGGAGGCAACTTTAGAATTACGCCTTAAAAAAATAAGTAACTTTCAAGGTAGATAATGAAAAGGAGCGAGCTAATGAGCAAAGAGGGAAAAAAAAGTACAAAAAAGATAAATGACATTGAAAAATAAGGTCCACTGGCAGAGGCATCAAAAAGCATGTTGTGTTTGGGGATCAGAAGTTACTGGTAAGCCTGTAATGCCTAGGAGGACAGATGTGATACACAGCTGAAGTCTAGAGCTAGAGCACAAAGGATCTTGTATTCCACAGTAAGAATAAGAAGTCTTTCATTTATCCTGCAGGCTAGCCATTTACCTTTTCAAGAATGTAGACACGTTTTTAATGTAACAAAAGCTATGCCTCTCAAAGTAACTTTTTAAAAGCTTTTATTGAAATAGGATGTCCATGTACTACCATGAGTTCAAGAATATTTCAATGCAATCTTGTATTTTGCTAATCCCCTAAACTTGTACATATATAAACAAAATTGCTACATATACATAAAATCCCACTTTAAAATTCTATTTTCATTTTTAATTGGCATATGGACTCCTAAGTTACTTGCAAAAACTGCCCCCCAACCTTGCCCAATGCTGATGACCTGCAAGCCAGGAAGTAGTACTATAACTTACTCAGAAACACTGAAATATATGGAGACTGACATGATCAGATTGAGAGTTTAAAAAATACTCTGGTGGCAGTGTTAAGAATGGATTAGAGGACGGTGAGAATGGATACAAAAATGTTACTTAAGAGACTGTGGAAGACTACTAACAGTCTTTCAAAATCTAATATTTTGTCTTGTACATATGGCTGCTGAACTGCAGACTATATTTCCCACCCTCTTTATAACTAAGTATGGCCATGTGACTGAAGTCACTAATATGTATATTCAACATGTGCAACTTCCACACCTTTCCTGGTTAAAATTTCTTCCACCTCCTGTGATTTATTTTTCTCTTTTCCTGTCAGTGGCAACACAGATTAGCCAGAGACCCAACTTTGATTATACAAATCAGTACAATGTTCTAGGACAAGTGTTCTTTAACTTGGGGAGGGGGTCCCCATATCCTCAAAGGATCCATAGGTAGAATTAAACAGGGATTGTTTTGAACTAACCTTTAACTAAAATTTAACATTTCTTTCAATTTTGAATATAAACACAAATAAACACAGTCATATTTTTAAAAAGATTTTATTTTGAGAGACAGTGTGAGTGGGGGGAGGAGCAGAGGGAGAGAGACAATCTCAAGCAGACTCTGAGTGTGAAGCCCAACACTAGGCTCAATCCCAGAACCGAGATCATGACCTGTGCCAAAATCAAGAGTTGTACACTTAACTGACTAAGCCACCCAGGCACCCCACAAATTACAGTAGTATTAATAGTATGTGATTTTTCCCACCAATAGAAATCAGATATTTTCATACCATATTATAATTATTGGATATATATTATTTTTGTCTTCCCCCCCCCCAGCAAACCTTGCTGTGAGAACACAATGTTAAACTCACCAAAACAGATGAATATTTATACTTTTGCCACTGTGCACCAGAAGTTCAGCTGGCTCCATTTCTGTTCATTCACAGCCTCCAAAAATCTCTCTCTATAGTTTATCCCCTCTAGTTTAACATTCCTTTACCCGCTAAAATGTTAAAATCTTAGGGATTTCAAATGTACTATCTTCTACAACATTTCTGAAAAGACAAGACAGACTCTTATATAAAGCCTTGGAAACCCTGTTTTCTGTCTTTAAGTCAATTCCGAATTCTGGCAAAAATTTTGTTACTCTCTGCTTATTAATGAAGCTAGAATCAAGGAAAAAAGCTCATCTATAACAGTTTTAAACTTTATTATCAATACACAGCACACAAACTAATTTTCTAAGGTATATTTTTTGTTCCAAGATATATTAACATTAGTCAGATTTTTTTATTTTAAAGATAAAAGCAGACACACCATTTTATATCTTTTCTTTTCCACCAACATGTTTATAGTGTCATAAACTCATTAGTGTCAAAAGTCATTTATGATCAGATCTAGAATCTATCTTATAACAGGTATATGGTAACATAAATTATACATAGTAATACCTGAGCTGTCTTAATAGAGATGTTGTAGAAGAAAGTTTACTTCTGCCCATAAATATAATGACATCTCCTGATAAGCTTTTAAGAAATATTTGTCATATCATATGATTTTAAAAGATGAGAAGGCAGTTATATTAAGAGAAGAGCATTTAAAAAGAATATACTTTCATTTCTTCGATTTTAGTATATATTTTAATTTTCATTACAAAAGAAAAGGATTTTAAACTAATAGAAATAACACATACTACTTAAAGTCAAATGTCTCATTAAGGTTTGAGTCTAAGTAGGAAGGAAACCCACATTTATCTGATTTTTAGTATCTAAAATCCTTGAAAAAGCATATGCTTTATTGTAGAATTAGCATTCTAAAAAATACTGACAGTAATAACACTCTATCAAATCGTACACAAATGGCAGCTATATAATTTGTATGTTTAACAAGTTAAATACATGTGTTTCTTAATCTCCTGATGAACTACCTCCAATATCAATATTAAGGAATTCTTTAATTTTATCATATAGTACCAACACCAAAGCACCCCCTGTACCACGAAGGATATTGGAGAAGGCACCACGAAAAAATGCACTGATTCCCTCATGTTGGTATATCTTCACAAAGCAGTCTAAAGTTCCTTTATATTGCCGTTCCGCCTCACCACTCTATACAAAGGAAGACAAATAGTTTGCCATTATTTTGCTATCTCTCATCTTAAGATAGTTTTTTTCAGCACTAAGGACATATAAAATTAACACTGTGTTGAATAAGTATGTTGCATTAATGGGCATATATAGAATATTGTACCCAGTGGTTGAAGAATACTCATACTTCTCTGGCCCACCTAAAAACTGATCATATATTAGGCTTAACAAACTTCAAAAGATGGTTATCACATACTATTATTTACCCTCTCACAACATTGCAGTTAAATGAGAAACTGACAGCAAAAAAGATAACTAGTAAACTATCAACTGTTTAGATACTAAGAAAAACACATCTTAGAAGATATTTAAAACCTAATAATAACCATAAAACTCCTTAATAAATTTGCAAGATGCAGCTTGAGTGGTAAATTATAAGAAAATTAATGACTTTGAAATATTAGAAAGGAAAAGCTGAAAATTAATGAGCAACCTGAACATTTTTAAACCAAAAGAAAGTAGAAATAAGAAAGTAGCCAGCAGAAATTATGGAATTAAGGAAATAGGAAATAAATACAACAGAAAGCATGCAAAGTCAAAGTTAGTTATTTGAAATACCTTACTGACAAATTTCTAGAAACACTGTTTGAGGAAAAACAAGAAAATGTTCCAAAATTATTAGAAACATCAAAGGTATCATCACTGTAGATGATCCAGAGATTAAGATGATATTAACAACTTCATGATGCCTATTTTGAAAACTCAGAAGAAATGGACAAGTTCCTTAAAAAGTATAATTTACCAACAGAATAAAAAATAAAACATTAGAATAATATATGAAATTCACTTAAGTAATCTAATCAGTTGTTGAAAATCCTCATATAGAAGACCATGTGTCCAGATAGCTTTATATGTGAGCTCGTTAAATATTCAATTTAATTCCAATCTTACAGAAGTTATTCTAGAAAAGAGAAAAAGTGGAATACTCCACTATATATTTTATATATATAAAGTTTTTACAAGCCTTGATATCAAAGTTAGGCTAGGACAATACAGGAAGGAAAAATAACAAACTAAAGTCACTGAAACAATGCAAAACTCCTGAACAAAAACTAGCCAATCAAACCCAGCTAAAAATACAAAATACAATACATAATGACTAAGATGGGTTTATACCAGACATATATGGTTGGTTTAGCTTTGGAAAACAGATAAATGTAATTTATTAACATATGGAAAAAGAAAAATGAAATCATCTCAAGATACAGAAAATCATCTCAACAAATATACAGAATCACCATTCATGATTAAAAACTGTTGTAACCCAAAACAGAAAGGAACAGTCATAATATGATAAAGGATAACTACAAAAACCAGACAGCTAACATTAAATGATGTAACTTTGAAGGCATCCCTATTAAGACTAGCAAAAAGATTGTTAGTTATTACTTCTTTAATACAGTAACACTGAATCATAGGTCTCAGCCAGTGCAGAAAGGCAAGAAAAGGAAATAAAAGATACAAGAATTGATAAGAGGAAAAAAACCTAGTATTACTCATAGATTATATACCTGTGTGTAAAAAACAACAACAACAACACACAACTTCAGAGTGTACATATAGATTAGCTTTTGTACTTGGGTTTAACAAAGAAATGAAAATAGAAAAATTAAAATACCATTATGGGTTTGCATTGTATCACCCCAGAATTCATATATTGAAGTCCCAATCCCCAGCACCTCAGAATGTTACTATATTTGGAGACAGGGTATATATGTATGTATGTACATATGTATGTATATATATATGTATATATTTACAGTATATTATTTGTTTCAGAGGTACAGGTCTATGATTCATCAGCCTTACAAAATACCCAGTGCTCATTACAACACATACCCTCCCCAATGTCCATCACCCAGTTACCCCATCCCTCTCCCCGTCTCCCCTCCAGAAACCCTTCGTTTGTTTCCTATGATTAAGAATCTCCTATGGTTTGTCTCCTTATCTGGCTTTGTCTTGTTTCACTTTTTCCTCTCTTCCCCTATGATCCTCTGTCTTGTTTCAGTTTTCATAAATATCAGAGAGATCATATGATAATTGTCTTTCTCTGACTGACTTATTTCACTTAGCATAGTACCCTCTAGTTCCATTCACATCGTTGTAAATGGCAAGATTTCATTTTTGATGGCTATGTAATATTCCAATGTATATACGTATTATATCTTCTTTATCTACTCATCAGACAGGATCTTTATAAAAGTAATTAAGATTAAATAATCTTGTCAGGGTAGGCCCTAATCCAATTTGGCTATCTTTGTAAGAAGAGAAACAAAAAAAAAGGACCATGGGAAGACACAAGGAGAAAGCTATCTACAAGCCAAGGAGAGAAGCCATCAGAAGAAATCAACCCTGCTGGACACCCTGACTCAGACTTATAGCCTCCAGAACTGTGAGAAAAAAATTTCTGTTGCTGAAGCCACCCAATCTCTGTTGTTTCATTATGGCAGTCCTAGTAATATACACATGTATCTAAAACCCCATACAATCACAATTTTTTTCTGAATTATTTTGATAGTAAGTTATGGACTATCATGTCCCTTATCTTTAAATACTTCTGTGTGCATTTTCTAAAAATAAGATTATTTTCTTGCAAACCCAAAGTACAGTTAACAAAATCAGAAAATATAACATCAATACAGTACCATTCACCTAATCCAGTCTGTATGCAAATTAATTTTCAATTTAAAAAGGTTTTTCAATGTATTAAACTAGAGCTAGATACAGATCAAGAGGAAACACACATATAAAAGGAGTAACTTTAAAAACAGTCTATAAGTGAATAATATAATAGGTATGCTTTACCTTTTCATGTGGCCTACAGGGTTCTCCAGGACCAATTTGTAGACATAAAATGAGGATGAGGATAATGACAGTAACTACACCTCATAGTATTGTTTTGAGAATTAAATGAGTTAAAGTGCAAAATGCTTAGGAAAATATCTGGAACACAATAAGCATTATATTACTATTCTAGCTTTCTGGCCTCATTATTTTTATTTCCAATTGCCCTCACGAACCCTATCATCTGCTACTCAAACTGTACATCTACGTATGTTTTTTCCCCTCTGCTTAGAATATCCTCTGTCTAAAGAAAAAATCTATTTATAGAGATTTAGCTCTCCAAGGGGCTACATCTGATCACTTTAAGCATTTAGGTATCCTTCTGTTGCGTTCCTGGAACTTATGCATATTTCTTGTTTTTTTTTTTTTTTTTTAAGATTTTATTTATTTATTTGATAGAGAAATCACAAGTAGGCAGAGAGGCAGGCAGAGAGAGAGGGAGAAGCAGGCTCCCTGCTGAGCAGAAAGCCCAACGTGGGGCTCGATCCCAGGACCCTAGGATCATGACCCAAGCCGAAGGCAGACGCTTAACCCACTGAGCCACCCAGGTGCCCCTGCACATTTTTATTTAAACCATTAACCATATGCATTCAGTGCTATGCTATGAATTTAGAAGCAGGTTCCACCTTATTTTTATTTGGGTTGTCATAACTTAGCATATATTAGGCACTTAAATATTTGCTGAATAAATGAATGTAACAAATAACATCAATGAAGACTGAATGTATCAAAATTTTGATTTAGAGATTTATATGTATTTATTTTTTTATTTATTTATTTGAGAGAGAAAGAGCAGGGAAGAGGGGCAGAGGAAGAGAGAGGGAGAGTCTTAAGCCCAACACAGAGCTCAAGCTCACGACCCTGAGATCAATACCTAAGCAGAAACAAAGAGACATTTAACCAGCTACCACCCAGGCACCCCAGAGATTTATATTTAGAACACACAGAATTTTAAACAAGTTTTCATCCTTGGAATTGAGAATTATTTACTTTTGTTAAAATATATTACAACTAAAACGACATATGGCAGTGGCTTGTGACAGGGTTTGATCTACTTACCCTAATATTCATTTAGGATAGACACACTCTTCCCATCCCTGTCACCCCCCTCCACCTTTCAAACAATACGTTACAGGAGTGGAGGGCATTTCTATTCTGATAATAGAAGAAGAAGAAAGTTTTGCTGGATGATGGCTGTTTTGGGATAGGAAAGGATATAAGACAGAGCACAGCACACATTTATTTAAGTAAATAAAACAGATGACCTGCCTTTCAGCCAGAATTTCTCTAAAATTTGAATAAATTATACTTGAATATCAAGGATATTGGAAAATTCAATTAAACTCACAAATAATATAAAATACCTGCATCATCATGCGTCTTCTAACTGTGTCAAAGGGATAAGAAAGAATTCCAGAACATGTGGTCACAACTTGAGCAATGAAAAAGGAGACAAGAAATGGGGTTTCCTTTGGTTTTGGTAATAAGCCCTAGAAAAGAAATCAACATATCAAGTAACAATCTCAATTTCCAAAATATCTTAAATTCTTAAGTCAAAGGATAACTCCTATAATGCAAGAGGGTTCTATTATACTCAAAATGCAATAAAACACAGTTGGATTTAATGTGGAAAGATTAAAACAGTATCAAGAGATCAATAAGAAAGAAATATGCCACACATGGCTTTACTTTAAAAGCATATCTGAAAAAAGAAAGCATAGTTGCTATTACCAGAGATTTGTTATTAATGGCAAACAGTAAGGGAAATAGCTGCCAGTGACCAAACAAGTTCTTAGCTCTTCTTCATAGTTGAAAAATAATTAAATAATGCCTGATATTATCATTAACAGGTATTTAATAAACATCTTTAAAGCTCTAAGCTAGTGAAGAAACACTTCTAAATTTCATAACTACTACAGGTAATAATAAAGAAAAACAGAGGGAGAGCATACATAAAATTTTCCATGACTAAATATACATAAGAACTTGTTAATTTCCATTAATCTGTCTAAAAAATACACAAGAAACTGAAAATAACATGTCCAGACCACAATAAAAATAATCTATAATTACATTCATACTAATGAGGGAAGGCCAAGACAATATGTAAAACATATAAATTTCCCTCAAGTTTTAATCTTATCTAGTAAATACTACTAATATTAATTTCCCTGCTTCCTTTTGTAAGAGACTGTGAGCATGGGATTTTTGTTTGCCACTTAACACAAATTACTTAACTATTCCTAGGTTATCTTTAAAATGGAGATACTAAAAGCTATCCTAGGATATTGCTAGGAAGTATTTAACAAAGTTCCTAGAACTAAGTAGTAACTCAAAATACGGTAACCATTATTACAATTTTCCTCTTTCCTACTTTATGGAAATACTGTTAAAATCTGAAATGAAAAGGCAAATTGCAGAACAACCTGGAGAATACAATATAGAATCTAATAAAACCCAACTGATAACTGAGCTCTAGAAGCATTTATTACATTTAACTAATTAGTTATGCCTTGCCTGCTTTTTAAAATGATGAGATGGTAAGCTGATTATCCTCATGTAAGAAAGTGATAATGAAGTGAATGTAAAATCAGAAAAACTGTTAGAAGATGCCTTTCTATATGCTAAAGATTTGATTTAATTATGATGTAAGGCTAATTAATTAGCAGATTTTCTATTTGCAACATGATGTATAGTGAGTCTGTCAGTGGCAAACAGCACAAAAACTTAATGTTTGTGTTTATGTTTTATATCTAAAGTCAGATCCATAATAGAATTATAATTCAATAAGGTTATGGCAAAGTCACAATTAAAGAGATTCTATAATGTTTCTTATTTCATCATTTATTTTGATTTCTATAATTAAAAGCAAAAGTTCATAGCTGAATAAACTACTAGTTAAGACAATAAAAAGAAACAAACCATGTATTTAGTATATACCAGTTAAGTCCTCAAATTACCTTAACTGTGTCATATGCTCCAAAATAGGAGGCTCGGTACACAATGATACCCTGAACTGAAACACCAAACCCTTGGTACAAACCAACAATTCCGTCTGATTTTGCTATTTTTATAATACAGTCACCTAAACCCTTGAATTGTCGCTCTTCAGGACCTAAAATAAAGCCATTTAAAATGTATTAGCAACATTATATACATTATATATCAGATAAACACTTTAATCAAAGTAAATTAATCTCACAGATTTAAAGTATCTTCTTAAACTGCCATTTAGAAACTTTTCTAATAAAAATGGACACAAATCAAAATCCTCCCATTTATTTAAAGAGAATTAAGGTTTCAAAAATATCTTAAAAGATTTTAACTGAAAATATTAATCTCTTATAAAAACAATCTAATTCAAGCAATTTGACTGGCTTAAAACATTTCAATAAAATTACCAGAAGCTACTGATTGGAATTCAGAAAACACTTGGGAATGAAAAATTCTATGACTTGCTTCAGTTGAAAGGCGAAAGACAGACACAGTAAAAAGACAAAGTTAAAAACTACCAGTTATGGACATTGAGGAGGGTATTTGCTATGGTAACTGCTGTGAAGTGTGTAAACCTGGCGATTCACAGACCTGTACCCTGGGGCTAATAATACATTATATGTTAATAAAAAATTAAAAATTAAAAAAAAAAACTACCAACTTTAAGAATCATTAACATTTTAGATGAGTTATATTTTAATAGTGTTTGCTGGTTTTAATTTTATTTTCCCTTCACCTAGAACTCCTTGACAATATTTTAAAAATATTGTATATAAAATATAGTCTTCAAAATAAACTAAATTCTCCCAATTCTGACAGAAAACTACAGAACTAAAAACAAGATGCAGGAATTTTTGTCACTTTCTTAACAATAACAAGAAAATTGAAACTGCCAGTTGAACATGTTAGATGGAACTCATTATTTTCATCTTTGCTCAAACTGCTACGACTTCTGAGACATTTTTTCTAACCAACTTATCTAAAACTGATGTCATTCCCTGCTCCTAAATATTTTTGTATGTCATTTATTGCTAAATGACAGTATATTTTGGCCATTCATTCATTTTTTCATTACTTGTGTCTTCCCCTAGACCATAAAGTACCTGAGCCATGAGCTCCATGTTTTTTTAAATATTTTTAAAGATGTATTGATTTATTGATTTGACAGAGAAAGAAAGAGAGAGAGATCACAAGTAGGAAGAGAGGGAGGCAGAGAGAGAGGGGAAAAGCAGGCTCCTTGCCGAGCAGGGAGCCCAATGCGGGGCTCGATCCCAGGACCCTGAGATCATGACCTGAGGCAAAGACAGAGGTTTAATCCACTGAGCCACCCAGGCGCTCCGAGCTCCATGTTTTATATGGGGTGTCTATGTGTATGTCTCTCATCTTATATCTGAGGCACGCCTTGGTCCCAGCAGGGACACAAGTATTTGTTGAATAAATCTCTGCTTTCTTGGGAAATTCCACTAAAATGGTAATAAAAGAACAAAACAGGTTTAAAGCCATATAGGCAAGAACAGTACATGGCAGAGAATGAAAACCACAAATTTTAGCAAAATGGAAAGGAGGAGGAGGAGTAACTCAGAGCAGAAAAAGCTGAAACCTATGTTCCTGCAGAGAGAAAAGCAAGCCATTTTACACCAATAACCTCAGAAAGACTTAAAAATTAGAAGAACTAAGTATTGCTCTTTTGGGGCCACATGGGTGGCTGAGTGGGTTAAGCCTCTGCTTTCGGTTCAGGTCATGATCTCAGGGTCCTGGGATCAAGCTCCCCATCGGGCTCCCTGCTCAGCAAGGAGCCTGCTTTCCTCTCTCTCTTTGCCTGCCCCTCTGCCTACTTGTGATCTCTGTCAAATAAATAAATAAAATCTTAAAAAAAGAAAAGTATTGCTCTTGCAGTGAAAACAAAGTAGCATCTGGATGCTCAAAACCTCATCCTTGAGCTGCCAAGTGACTTACTCCTCTGCCATCCTCAGAACTGAACACAAGGCTCTAGACTGAAAGGGGCCAATTGAGCTACTTCCACAATTGCTGAAAAAGCCTCACAAGATATACCATTGTGAAATGTCAAGATCATCAGGGACATAAGGTAATTAAAAAGAAAAAAAAGTCACATACAAAAGAATTAGCAGTTAGAAGATCAGTTTCTTTCTTTTTTTTTTTTTTTTTTAAGATTTTATTTATTTGACAGAGAGAGAGAGAGAGAGATCACAAGTAGGCAGAGAAGCAGGCAGAGAGGGAAGGGTAAGCAGACTCCCCGCTGAGCAGAGAGCTCAACAGGGCTTGATCCCAGGTCCCTGAGACCACGTCAGAGCCAAAGACAGAGGCTTAACCCACTCTCTCAGCCACCCAGGCACCCCAGGAAATCAGTTTCTTAAGAGCAATCTTAGAAACAAGAATCCAGAAAAATGCTTTCAAAATTGTGAAACAAAGTAACTTTAAAGTATAATTTTACATATGGCCAAATATTAAGTAAAAGGGTAAAACAGATTTTTTTTTAGACATGCAGTATCTCAATGTATCTCCTATACACTCTTCTCAAAAAGTTCAGAAAGCTATTAAAGAGCATAATCTACCAAAACAAGAATATAACAAAAACACAGAAAGATGTGATACATAAAATAAGTAAGGTGAGAGGCAAAGGGAATCTCTAGGATAAGAGCTGTATATGTAACCTAGGGAAGAGCCATAGTTGAAACAGGAATAAGTTCAGGGAGGGATGTAAGAGGTGGCTCTCTAGGAAAAAACTGGAAGTGAGTTAAAAGAAGTCTTTGCATTTGCTCTCTTGATATCACAGTGCTGGCCTTCCCCTTCCTTCTTTCTAGGGAAAAGAAAAAAGTAGTAATCTTTAGTCTCAAGACTCTACCATTTAGTTGAGGGTAAGATTTTTAGAATGTATTTCATGCTGTCATTATAGCAAACTCTACAATAAATAATGCTTCACTCAAAATACAAAGAAGGGAGAGTTAGTATTTTTGAAAATCCTGTACCTTTTCCAATATCAGCACCTAATCGGGTTCGGGCAAAGTCTAGCGGATAAACTACACATAAGGATGTTGCTCCAGCAGCTCCACCAGAAGCCAGGTTTGCCAAAAACCACCTCCAGAACTGAAACACATTAATTAAAAAGTGGTTATTAAACTGTAGAATCTGTTTAAAAGTCTTATTTTTTTTTTTAAGATTTTATTTATTTATTTGACAGAGATCCAAGTAGGCAGAGAGGCAGGCAGAGAGAGAAGAAGAAGCAGGCTCCCCCTGAGCAGAGAACCCGATGCGGGGCTCGATCCCCGGACCCTGAGATCATGACCTGAACTGAAGGCAGAGGCTTTAACCCACTGAGCCACCCAGGTGCCCCTAAAAGTCTTATTTTTATGAAGGTTAAAAAGTCAGATTTATAAACTGCTCTTTTAAAGTAAACGTCTGTAATAATGTGTATCATATTATCCAAAATATTTCCCTTCATGTCCATGAAGCCTTTGTTTCTTTCCAGGCAGTATGGGAGATACAGTTTAAGTGCTGATATAAAGAAATTCCAACATATTTTAATTGTCTCTAGCAAAAGTAGCCCAAATTAGCAAATAAGGCCACATATGATAATCGTCTCTTTAGACTATATAAATTTTTTGTTAATAATTCGTATTATGGTTAAAATGTCAGGGATCTATGGAGGCTTTAGTTGTACCCTTTTTTTTTTTGGTATGGGGCAATAATACTTCATAATGCTATAATTTTACTTTGCAATTTTAGTAGATATTTAAGCAGCTCAAAATTTAACAGCTCAAAAAATATAGTATTTTCAGCTGCTAACATGAAAATTAGCAGAAATCAATTATAATATAGTTGAGCAGTGTGTAACTTAGGCCTTATTGATCTACTGGTTCACATGGATTGTTGAGGTTCTTTTTCATAAATATTTTAAATGTGCCCTGCTTGGTCCAATAAACTGCTTTTCAACATCTAGAGCTTACTGGAGAAGAATATTTGAATTGGAGTGGTTATAGAAAATCTTTTGAAGGCCACTGTAACCATTTAAAATACATTAAAATGAATAATATTCTAATCAAGTTCAGTTTCTTGTTTTATTCTCTGCCCTTTATTTCTAACAATAGTTTTTAAGTCTCATATAGCTTTGGAACTCTCAATTTTCTCTTGGCCTAGAAAGACTTTCCTAACTTTTTTAAACAAAAAGTTACTAATTTATACTCTAATTCAAATTCAACTTCTTCCATGAAACCTCTGATCTCTAAACCTACCCAAATCTATGTGTAATCATTTCTTTCCATAAATACTTCAGCTCTTAAGAGAATTAGAAGTGAATCCTGTGACCAATATGTAAAATATGTCAACATGTTCTAGATTCTCAATTTAAATAGTATTTACAATCACTTCCTACTTTCAATTTATAAGTATTTATATACATGTCTTATCTTACCTCATGTAGACCATAAATTTCTGAGAGTCAGGATTATTATCATTTAAGAGTTTTACTGAGATGTATTTATACACCATACAATTTACCAATGTAAATTTGCCATACAATCCAATGGATTGTTAATATTTTCAGATTGTTCAACCATTATCAGTTTCAAAACATTTTCATCAGCTCCCCCCAAAAAGCCCTATACCAATGGAGTGACCAGAAGTCACTCCACATCCTCCCCATGCCCCTGAGTCTGAGGTAACCATTAAGCTACTTACTGTCCCTATAGATTTGCCTATTATGGACATTTCCTACACATGGAATAACACAGTATGTAGTCTTTTGTGACTGACTTCTTTCTTTTAACATAATATTTTCAAGGTTCATCCATGTGGTAGCAGGTATTAGTATTTCATTTTTGTAAAAAGATTTTATTTATTTGACAGAGAGATAGAGAACTCAAGTAGGCAGAGCGGCAGGTAGAGGTAGAGGGAGAGAGAGAGAGGCAGGCTCTCTAATGCAGGGCTCGATCCCCAGGATGCTGGGATCATGACCTGAGCCCAAGGGTAGCCGCTTAACTGACTGAGCCACCCAGGCACCCCCCTTTTTTAATTGCCAAATAAAATTCCATTATATGAAGTTACCACATGTTATTTGCCCATTCATCAGTTCATGGACATTTTGGTTGTTTGCACTTTTTTGAAGCCAAGATTCTTAATTCATCTGTTTATTTTACGAAACAAGTTACGGGCCTTGCCCAAAGTAATGGTAATGCATTCAATAAATATCTACTTAATGAGGTACTGGTAATACCACGTATTGTCCTCAGACTATCATGGCTCCTTTTCAGTGAAACTCCTAGGTTTTGTATGGGTAGACATGTTTCATAATCACCCAGAGATAATTAGATCAGGAGATTACATCTGACCCCAGGATAGCTAATCCATAATCTAATAGATAATCTGTAACCTGGTAGAAAAAATGAGTTGGACCAAAGTCTGTTTCTTGGGAATCTAACTCTAAAATTCTATGTAAGGACAGAAATGGAAAAGGTATTAAATAACTATTTTTAGGTCTCAGTCTTCTTTAAGACTGTTGCAATCAATAGATCCTCTTCCAATAAAAACCACGTATGTATAAACACACTTTTAATGGTTTAAGGTATTCTTTAAACATTCATGGATCCCGGGAAGGCAGATCAATGACTTTCTGCGTGGATTATCATAAAATTTATTACTCAAACTATGACACTTCTGACAGTGGAAGTGGGGCTTTGGAAAAAATGACACAGGCAGGCAGAACATGTTTAAGTAGTATCGCCAACTTTCTGACCAAAGAAAGGAAGAGGGAAGGAGGAAAGACTGAAGGCAGCAAGGAGAGGGAGACAGGAAGTATCTATGTTGAATCATAATCTTGCAAGTGTTTGTATAACAAAAAAAAATCTATCCCTTCAAAATTATGCTTGAAAATAAAACAGACCCAAAGGAGGTGGTACATCAGTATAAGTGAGAGTTTCAATTATTGTAAGTCAGTAATTTCAGATATTACTATATCATAAAAGGAGAGGGCAAAGAGAAGAGTCAGGGAGGGAGAGGAGTTTGAAAGAATCTGAGGGTTTTGGAGGAAAATAATCTTGTTTATTCTGTAGACAAATAGATAATCGTGTTAATGGACTCAATGATGCACTGAAGAACAAATGCTCTAGAAGCGAAATTGTTTCTAACAAAGTTTGTCTGGGCAAGAAAGAGCTAGAAGAAGTTCTAGTCTTCCCTGTCAAGGGTTATATTAGAAGCTACTAAAAGGGGGCAGAGAAACATTTTGTACCCAGGCTCAGCTAAGTTTCACTCAGTGTAGTCACCTCAGTTGACAGAGAAAGAGTCCAGTTGAAGGATCTAAGTTTGGGAGTTAGAAAGACCTGAACAAATGGCTTGGACAAGTGCTCTCACCTCTGAGTCTTGCTTTCCTTAGCTTTACATCTAAGATAAAAATAACTACCTCAAAGAGTGAGGTGAAAATTCAGTGAAACAGTATATAGTAGGCATATAGCTCCCATCATGGTGGTGGTTGTTATTATTATTTAAAGTAATAATGGAGCTGGACGTGGAGCCCAACATGGGGCTTGAACTTACAACTTTGAGATCAGGACTTGAGCCAAGATTAAGAGTCTGATGCTTAACTGACTGAACCACCCAGACATCCCCCCACCATGGTTATTTTTTTAAAACTTCTTATTTTTAAATAATTGCAGATTCACATGCATCCTAAGAAGTGATAGAGAGTCTATAAACCCTTCAACTAATTTCCCCTAATATCTAGCATAACTATAGTAGAGGAAATCAACACTGATAAAAACTTATTCAGATTTCACCAATTTTACATCTATTTGTTTGTGTGTGTGTTTAAATATATGCAATTTTATCACATATGCAGATTCATGTGACCACTGCCACAGTCAATAGTTCCGTGATAAAGATCTCTCAATGCTACCCTTTTATTACATTTTTTAAAGATTTTATTTATTTATTCAACAGACAGAGATCACAAGTAGGCAGAGAGGCAGGCAGAGAAAAGGGGGAAACGGGCTCCCTGCTCAGCAGAGAGCCCGATATGAGGCTCAATCCCAGAACCCTGAGATCATGACCTGAGCCGAAGGCAGAGGCTTAACCCACTAAGCCACCCAGGCGCCCCTCGATGCTACCCTTTTAAAGCCATAACCACCTCCCTCTCTTCTGGCAACCATTACATTATTTTTATCTCAATGATTTTAACATTTCAAGAATGTTATATAAATGAAATCAGAAAGCAAATTTTGATATTTTTTTTTCACTTAGCTTCCAAAGTTGCTACATGTTATCAAGTTTGTTCTTTAAAAAATTATAAAATATACATAACATAAAACTTATCATTTTAGTCTTTAAAAAAATTATTTATTTATTTGAGAGAAAAATCATGCAGGGGAAGGGGCAAGGGGAGAGAAAGAGAGAAAATCTCATGCAGATCCCCGCTGAACATGGAGCCCAACCTGGGGCTCTACCTTAGGACCCTGAAATCATGACCTGAGCCGAAACCAGGAGTCAGGCACTTAACCCATTGAGCCACCCAAGTGCCCCTGACTTTAGCTATTTTTAAGTGTATAATTCAGTGATACTAAGTACATTCACAATAACATAAAAATATCACTCTTCTTGGGGTGCCTGGTGGTTCAGTCGGTTAAGCACCCGACATTGGCTCAGGTTATGGTACTGGATCTCTGGGATGGAGCCCCAAGTTGGGCTGCCCACTCATGGGAAGTCTTCTTGTCCCTCTGCTCCTCCCCCGTTTGTACTCTCTCTCAAATAATGAAATAAAATAATTAAAAAAAAACCAATACATCACTACTCTCTACTTCCAAACCTCATCATCCCAAATAGAAACCCTGTACCCATTAGATAAAACTCCCATTAACATTTGTTAATGAAGTATAAATGGTGAGGGATGCCTGGATGGCTCAGTGGGTTAAGGGTCTGCCTTTGATTCAGGTAATGATCCTAGGATCCTGGGATCCAACCCCACCTCAGGCTCCTTGCTCAGCAGGAAGCCTGCTTCTCCCTCTCATTCTGCCTGCTGCTCCTCCTGCTTGTGTTGTCTTCTCTCTCTCAAAATAAATAAATAAATGAATGAATAAATAAATCTATCTTAAAAAAAAAGAAATATAAATTGTGAAAAAATGGGAATAAAGGATATGAAAAGAAATTTAACAAGGCAGCAACAAAGGAATGTTCCACAAATAGCTGCTTTTATAAAAAACCTCCTAGGAAAGCTCAATTGGTTGGTTGGCTTGCTGGGGGAAAGAGAAAGGATAAAGGGGAAGAGAGACTTTATAAGGGTAAAAGGACGACCTTAAGAGTGAAGTAGGTGGTACAGTGTATATGGAAGCAACAAAACAAATAGAAATCTAAACAAATGACATATAGTTCATACAAATAGGAAATTTTGAAACTGAAATTCTGTAATCAAGGGAGTGATTACCTTGAAAAGAGAAAGTACCTTTTCAATAAAAAAAAAAAAGAATCCTCCAACTTTAATTTTCTTTTCTTTTGTTTGATTTGATATTCCTATGTACTTTAATCTCACCTAAATAGAGCCTTAGTCATAAAAATGAAATAATGTACTTCTTTAGGAGATTAATTACCTCAGATATATAGGAATACAGATCTGTTGATTGTTTTGGAGCTCTCCTAGTATAGAAGAATAGTGATTATAACATGTATATGTTTTAATTATTATTTCTTCTACCACTCAGCACCTCCTCCCAAATAAAACATCATAGGCTAAGGCAAATTCAACTATTCCTTAGAAAATAATAGATATTAAAATGTACTTACCTGCTTTTCTTTATTAACTCCAGACATGAAAAGTTGTTTGTATTTGTCCTTAAATGCAAAATTAAGAGCTTGTGTTGGAAAATATCGGATAACATTGGCCAAATTGCCACGCCAAAAACTGAAGAAACCTACCAAAAAAACACATTAAATACAAACTTGTATTTTTATTTAAAAAATTCCCATAGTTTTAACAAACTTAGTTATTTGAACTATCTAAAACTTACACTCTTTCTCATGAGAAAAAATTAAGTCTACATGTGAATCCACTGAAGAAAAAAGGCAGTGTTAACTCCATGTACCCCATTTCAATTTTGTTAATTTCCAGTAAAAAGCCTTAAATACCTTTAAATCTATGGAATGTATCATCATTTGAATATAAGGCTTTTTACTAGATAGAAAAACAGAGCTTGCTAAAGCTAGTAATCCTTACCCTCATTTCCAAATCAGGATATGCAGTTTCTATGGTTAAAACAAAATTGGTTTGTATATATACTTGTGAGAATGAGAAAGCATTAAGAATCTAAAGTGGGGGTACCTGGGTGGCTCAGTTGGTTCAGTGTCTGATTCTTGATTTTGGCTCAGGTTATGATCTAAGGGTTCTGAGACTGAGCTGCGCATGGGGCTCTGTGTTGGGTGTAGAGCCTGCTTAAGCCTCTCTCTCTCCCTCTACCATTGTCCCCCCACCCCACAAAATGGAGTCTAAAGTATACTTACCTTTACCTTCTGGAACCTAGCCAGAAAAGAGATCAATTTATAATTCAAGGCATTCTCCAGAGGCCTGATGGAGAGACTGAAGAAAACTTTTCAGGTCAATAATCTTCCCACTTCAAATCTCCATGGATTGACCAATCCTTAAAATTCAGTCATTGTGTTATCCCTATAATTCAGAGTTACCTTTATAATCTTTATAATTGAGCTGCCCTAGAATACAATAGGCTATCTCCTCAGCAGCCATAGTTGTTTCTACTATATTGCAAATTATCCAATGGTTTGATCTGGCTGCTCTAGTCCCAACTTGGAGAATACCCAGAATCAGTCTTCTGATGATAAAAATTCAAAGGAAAATAATCTCAGTTGACTGGGTTGATGCTCAGAAACTGAAAGTTTTATTTAACAAATAATTTTTTTGGGGAAGAACACAGAATCTCTGTGAATCCCAAACTGCATGTAAAGCACAAAGATAATTTTTTTTAAGATTTTATTTATTTATTTGACAGAGAGAGATCACATGTAGGCAGAGAGGCAGACAGAGAGAGGGGAATAAGCAGGCTCCCTGCTGAGCAGAGAGCCCAATGAGGGGCTCGATCCCAGGACCCTGGGATCATGACCTGAGCCAAAGGCAGAGGCTTTAACCCACTGAGCCACCCAGGCGCCCTTGCACAAAGATAATTAAAGATCATATTTAATAGCCAAGAAATAATCTCAGTACTCATAACTGATTCAGTTTTTACTAGGACATGGAACATGTAATGCTAGATGCTACCATTTCCTGCGTGCTTAGTATGGCCAGGCACTGGCCAAAGGTTGTATATTTCATTTAATCACTACGTTATGCTTACGATGTAGGTTCTCCTATACTACCCATATTATACATGCACAAACTGAAATTTTAAAAGTTTAAAGACTGTCTACAGACATGGTTAATAAATAGCCAACCAGGATTTAGTCAGGTCTTGTGTCTAGCAACAAAACTCTATTCCAGGTTTGGGTTTCTGAAGAAATAAATCTTAAAAAGTTTTAAGATTATTAAAGTGTGGTAAATAAAGCTCTTTTAAAAAAAAGGAAATGGATTATTATAAAACTTTTGAGACAATATTAACAAAAATGACAATACTAAATTCTAGGAACTTCTTTTTATTAATTTAATCTTCATAATCTCCTATGAGGAAGGTATTATTCATCTCTCCATTTTAAAGATGGGGGAATGAGTTAAAACAGAACTTCTAAGGCAGACAGAAGTTAAGTTACTTGCCGAAGGTCACTTAGAAAACTGTAGCTCTGGAATTCAAACCCAAGCAATCTGGCTCAATAATTTAGTCCCTTATCTACAATACTTTTCCATATATACTTTAATCAAGTGAATATTTTCTGTACTAAGAAAGGTCAACTCTTTTTCTTTAATGGAAGCAAAATAAAAATCTTAAAACAGGAGAATGTAAGCTAATTATAGAAGAATATTTCTTGCTAGTTATGGCCACATTGAATTATTGAGGGAGATTGGTGAATCTGATTTTTGGAGGTATTTTTGTGATTTTTAAGTTCTTTCTTGTTAATGAAAACATTTAAGAAAACATTTGTATTTTCTTAGAGGTTAGACCTCCAAAAGAGAAATACAGAGAATGAAATATGACTGTGTAAATGATACTGAAGAACGATTTGATTTTCTAGACCATGGTTTATAGTAACACAACGACAGATTACTGGCAGAGAACAATGTCAATTTTAAAAGGATGAAAAAGAACATATTGCCTGGAAAATTGCCAATATGATCAAATGGGATTTAAGTTGAAGAAAAAAAATCATTTGTTTAAAAAATATAAACAATTTAGAAAAAGTGCCATGTTATCAAAAGATATTACAATTTCCATTTTATACATGACTTTTAAATATTTATAGTCATTTTGGAAATGGCTCACTCAGCTGAATGTTACTGAGATATTATGGGCTTTAGATTATGAGTTATTAGTAATAATTCTGTAATTAAGATTACAGTCTAAATTAATATTTATTTCACAAAAAGAGTGTCATATGGGGTACAGGGGTGGCTCTATCAGTTAAGCATCTGACTCTTGATTTTAGCTCAGGTCATAATCTTTGGGTTAGGGTTGTAAGATCCAGCCCCCGCATCAGGCTCCATGCTCCACAGGGAGTCTGAGATTTTCTTTCTCACTCTGCTCCTCCCTACCAAGCATGCTCGCTTTCTCTTTCTGTCTCTCAAATAACTAAATAAATCTGTAAAAGAAACAAGTGTCATATATAAAGCATTAAAAAGATTTGTAACTTTGGCTAATGAATTAAATACAAGGGAAGATTTTGATGACAAAGTCATCTGAAAACTAACACAAGACCATGACAGAATGCTGGATTTATGAGTCAAGGGGTTTGCTAGAGTTGGCTGAAGAACATATTCTTTTTAGCAAAAATGCATTTGCATGAAAAAAAAACTAAAATATTCATCAAAACAAATGTCAATGTCTCAATGAAAATCTAGAAAACAAATAAATCCCTAGAAGTATAACAGGAAAACTGATTTGTCTTAATGGGTTATATCTGAAAAAATATAATCTCACATACATGATATACTTTTGCAATATTTCAAAGAATTTATGGATTCCCTGAAGTTGCAGAGTCAGATTACGAACTACTCTTTTGGGGGACTTCGGTGGCTCAGTTGGTTAAGCCTCTGCCTTCTGCTCAGGTCCTGGGATCAAGTCCCGTGATGGGCTTCCTGCTCAGTAGGTAGGCCTGCTTCTCCCTCTTTCTCTGCCCTCTCCCCACCCCACTGATTATGCTTGCTCTCAAATAATAAAATCCTAAAAACAAAAACAAAAAAACAAAAACCTTTTAATTTTACCCTTATATACATTTCCCACTATACACTACTCTGTTATGCACATTTGTAAAATATACCCGAAAGAGAAATTAAAGGATGAAATAAAGATTTTTCACTTAAAAACCTCTTATTTGGTATCCAGTGTGTAGCCGACTTGCTGGGGATAGCATTAGGAATAAATTTCGTGGTCTTATGGAGCTTATATTTTGAGGGAGAAGGACCAGGGAGACAGACAACGAATAAATAAATATGTCAAGTGGCTATAAGAACAAAAATAGTATATGGAGATGGAGGAATGAGGAAAAACTATTTAGACATGATGGTTGGGAAAAACTTCTGGCTAGGAGATATCAGAGCCTAACTTAGCATTCATTAGAACAATTAAACAATCTTTTTAGTTATCTTACTAATCATGATGTTTTCATACCATCATTTGTTATATATCTCAAGGCACCCTTAGGATAATGTTCATTCTTAAGAACAGTATACATAAAGCTATATTTCAAATAGTCTTCTTGATAATTTCAAATATTCAAATAGTCTTGTCTCTATAAATCCAATTGAGCAAACATAAACTATGTTTATTATATAATAATTGAGGAAGGATACCTATCATCCCCTCTCTGGTGTGTGCCAACTCGTATACCAAATATCATAAAGTTTATTTTCCCATTTTATTTAAAGTGAATGCCTAATATTTTCTTTTCACACGCCAAAACACTGTTTTCAAGATATAAAAACCTCATGGTCAGAAACTCCTAAAAGAGAAAAGAGTTCTGGTAGATGCTTAAAAATGAACTGCATAGATCAGATCTTTAAAAGATTAGGTTTACAATATGTTAAATAAAAAATTATTTTAATTTAGAATATGCTTTCACATATGCATATTGTGCCCAGTGAAAAATTATTGCATAGACACCAAAATGTTAACTGTGGTGATTTTAGTAGTCATTTGTTTTACTTTCTATAATAAACATGCTTTGTTTGTATAATAATGGTTTAAACAGAAATTAAATGCACACAAAGTTGGAAGGTCCTACAACGAACTAAAGAATAGAATAAATCTTTAGGAATACCACCAGCCAAGTTAAATCCAGAAGCTTTTATAAGCCAAAGAAATCTTATAAGAAGTATGAAAAGTACCCAAAGAGATGTTTAATGCTAAGTTCAAAGCTTTAAAATGATGAGATCTGTCTTTGGGGTACAAACAAAGCAGAGATAAGATAAGAAGACAGTGTGAGAGCAACTACTTGTGCCTAATGAGTGCATGTCCCTCAGGTTCATTTCATGTTGTCTAAAGAAAATTTATCAGTAAAATTAGAGCAAACATGAAACACAAAAGAAACTTCAGAACATTTGAGATGAGGATGTGTCTTTATTTTCAAAAAAGCGAGAGAAAGTAAATTCCAGAAAATAACAATTTCAGAACTTGATTGCCTAGTAAAGTTCCAGTGATTTACCACAGTGATTCTCAAACTTACCAGACTCAAGTCCTCTACACAGAATACATATTTTACAACACTTCCTTTACTATCTAGAAACAGAATTCAAAAACTGTGACCTCTTCAACAATTTTTTACAAATCCATATAATGCCCTCTCTACTATATAGGAAGAGAAAATAAAGACATTTTGAATAAAATAGGTATTTTAATTAGTAAATTGGTGAAGTATGAACACACCATAGACAAAACAAGCAGATGTTTGCTTCTACTTAATAATGAATGTTATACTTAAGATACATTTACATTTCTTTTAAAGGGCTTAATAAATATATTTGTGTATATAAATGTGCAACCATCATGAATTCAAGAGTAAAGTGGTGACCGAATGTAAAAGAAGAATTGGTGAGTTTTCCCAATAGTGAACAATTCTCAGTATAATTTTTTTACTGGGGGGGGGGGGGGGAGGAGGGCAGAGGAAGTGGGAGAGAGAGAATCTTAAGCAGACTCCATGCCCACCTGGTACAGAGCCCCACATAGAGCCTGAGGCAGGGTTCCAACTCAAAACTGAAATCATGACCTGAGTCAAAATGAAGAGCCAGACACTTCACCAACTGAGCCATCCAGGTGCCCCTTAGTACACTTCTTAATAAAACAAAGTACAATATTCCCTCTACTCACATGGCAACTGGATTTCTGGAATCAGTGAACATGGAAACAATGTTCCAGATAGTTTGTGTTTATAAGCAAATCAGAGTTAGGTTCTAGGCTTAGAAAATCATAAACAGGTTTTACTGCTACAAGAATGTCCAGTGGAGAATTGAGTCATTCAGGTTGTAGAATAAATGTTTGTTGTGTAAGACAGCCATGTACAGCAGCAGGATGTTTATCATCCCTGGCTTTTGCTTTTTACATCATTGGAATTAGGGATTACAACCTTCTATCTTTGTGTTAAACAAAAAATTCCCTACAAGATTGTAAAATATACCCCTAGATGGCAATATTATCCCTGTTGTGAATTCTAATCTCTTAGCACAAAGCCTGGTCTACAAGAATAGAAAACATCTTAAAGTTCTGCCTATAATCATCTCATTGGAAGGTAAAGAAAACAGGGACTGGAATACTATTCAAAATGATCTCAATTTACAAGAGCCATATTGAATATAGGTTTAAATATTATTTAAAACACTTAAATATAAACTAAATTAGTGCTGATCAGCACAATCTGAGTAGGATATTTAACTTTACCTTACTAAATATTTAAACCAGATTAGCTAATAATAAAGTCCCTTACTTCTCTGAAGAGGTCTTAGAATGTCAGCCAAGAAGAGATAGGTTCCCACTTTTCCTTTAAAAACCCTGAGGGAAATGGGAAGCTTACTCTGATAAAACAAACGGGAGTGGAGAAATGTGAAGCACAATGAAAGATCTGAGCTCAGCTCCCCGGATGGGCATTCTAAATTTACGAGTTAGATGATGCCTTAAAAGTTACACTCAGGGGCGCCTGGGTGGCTCAGTCCATTAAGTGCCTGCCTCTGGCTCAAGTCATGAATCCAGGGTCCTGGAATAGGGTTCTACATCTGGCTCCTTGCTCAGCAGAGAGCCTGCTTCTCCCTCCGCCTGTCATTCCCCCTGCTTGTGCTCTTGCTCTCTCTAATAAATAAAATCTTTAAAAAAAAAGTTACACTCCAGGGGCACCTGGGTGGCTCAGTGGGTTAAGCCGCTGCCTTCGGCTCAGGTCATGATCTCAGGGTCCTGGGATAAAGTCCTGCATCAGGCTCTCTGCTCATCCGGGAGCCTGCTTCCCTCTCTCTCCGCCTGCCTCTCTGCCTACTTGTGATCTCTCTCTGTCAAATAAATAAATAACATCTTAAAAAAAAAAAAAGTTACACTCCACCCTAAATACTACACTCAACAGCTCAAGAGGAGTTGTAAGTACATCCCTAGGGAAAGAATGCTTTTCTCATGGAAGAGCAACCATTGATTTAGGAGTGGAAGAAAAGGATGGCACTGGAATTGAAACCACTTCACTTCTCATTCAGAATACACAATAAATAGACCTATTTCCTTTTTAAAGTTTATATAGAGTTTTCAACTGAATACAACTACATGGGTCAATTATAGAAAATTGTTGGTAAATTTATCCTCTTACCTACTTAGCTAATTTAGGAGCCATTCTGTAACAGGAGGGTATTTAATGGTTAACAAAGCACTTTCATTATTTTTTCCTTGAGATCATTTCAATAATACTGGAAAAACTCTCCACAATGAAAAAATACGAAAATTTTAATTAATGCAGAGCTGATACAAAATACTACTGTCTTTATTTAAAATTTTGATATTTTGCTCACCTTGGATTTTTCGCATTTTGATTTATATCATTTGTCTTTTTGAGTTTTGGGGGGGTCCTCCACAAATTTGTGCAGGGGTGAATGCCCCTCTTTAGTTTCCACCCTGGTCTTCAGTAGTTCTCAAGAATAAACAGAACCTCTTTCACTGAGTAGGAACTAGAGTACTGGGAGGCTCCGATGCTTCCATATTTGGGGTACTTCTCTTAAAAATACTATTTCAACAAAAACTTAAGCACCTTAAAGCACCTGTTAACACATAAAGCAAATTACCTAATGGCATCTCCCTCTATCCTGGGAGGTCAACCACTTTCCTTCTGAGCCAGGCACAACTGCACCAAGGTGTAAATCCTGATGTTGAGGAGAAACAAGAGAATCTGGTGGCCGCTCCTACTCAGGACTGACCACGTGGTAGGCCTTCTCGGCTCGGGGAAGTGTAGCCTCTTAAGACCGGTTAAGACACTGACTTCTCAACGGAGAAGAAATAAACTCCTCACCGACCAACACGGCTGCGGTGCAGTCCATCCCCTCTCGCTCCACCCCCCTTACTGGGACGCTGACCTAGAACCGGTAAGGCTGGCACCATAGCCGCCGGTACGCACCTTGCTCTCGGGGAATCCGCACCAGGCAGTCCACCATGCCTTTGTACTGCGCCTCAGCACTGATCTGCTTGGAAGACGCCTGCACCTGCAGCAGCAGCTTCACCCGCTCGATGGGGGCCACCGCGGTCTTGGACACAGCCGCTGCGACCCCGCCTGCCAGCAGGTCCTTCCCGAAGGATGCGGGGTCAAAGAGCCGCTTTTCCGACTTCTTCTCTTGCTTCTTCTTCGGAGGTTCACGCTGCATGGTGGGATGAAGGAGGTTAAAAACAGGCAGCAGCGGTGGCAAAACAAGCCTGAGAAGGACGACGAAAGGAAGCAGAAAACCGCCTCGGCGTCCTCCTGGCGGGAAAGCAGCGCTCAGGATGCCGGGATATCAGCGTGCAGGGCCTGGGTTCCCGGAGCTGCGCAGGCGCCTCCAACCGCCTCCCACTTTCTGGCACCAGCCACGTGACTCCCGACACGTGGCTCTTCCGCGCAGAGTTCTGCGGTGATAAGCAGCGATGTGGGCTTTCCCTGCTACCCGCAGGGTTGGCAGGCAGGCGGGCCGTGGGGCTGAATCGCAGAGGTGCAGGAAGGGAGCCTCGAGAGCTAGTCCAGTAACAGGGTATTTAGGAGCCAAAACTGTAGTAGAGTAGTTAACCAACTGCGTGGGTTAGCCAAGTTTAGTTTTAGTTCCTAGGGTTATCCTTCCATTTTCTCTTACAAATCCAATTTCTGCTCCTTTAATTAGGCAGGGATTGTTTATCCAGTCATGTTTACAGTCTGCCTTTGCTCATAGCACCCCAGTAGCTTAATTTAACATGTTCCTCTTTCTTCTGTATTTTATTCAAATTGATTGTTTTATCTGGAGCGGAGCTTCTCAAGACTAACCAAAGGGGACAGGGATATGCTGTTTTAACTAGTGCTTGGGCTTAGGGATTCTAATGTGCAAGGCTGAGAACCAATGACCTGTTCTAGAACAGTGCTTCACAACCTTTTTATTTTAAGACCCCTTTTCACTCTTAAAAAACTAGGGTCACAAGGAAGCTGTTTCTGTGTTAAACGTATTGATACTGCTCAGAAACCGAAACGGAAAATTTTAAAGTATCAGTTTACTTGAAATAACCCATAATATAAATAACATTTTAAAAAGTAACCATTTTTCAAAACAAACCAAAAAAATGAGAATAGCCTTGTTTTGTATTTTTGAAAATCTCTTTAATACCTAACTTAATAGAAGACAGCTGGATTTACATGACTGCTTTTGTCCCCACTCTACTGCAATACCACACATCATGTAGCTGCTGGAAAACTCCACTGTGCGGTCAGAGAATGAGAGTGAAACAGGCAATTAGTGTCTCAGTATTATTAAGAAAAGTTTTTATCCCATGGTGTCTCAGAAGAGGTCTTGGTGACATCTGTACTTGATATCTATCTATACCCATACCACACTTTGAGAACTAACCTGGAAGCTTATCAGATTCAGGTCTGATTCTGGGCAAACAAAACAAACAAAAAAACAAACCACAGTAGATGTGATGTACATCTAGCCTGCATCTAATGTCTTGCTCTATTTTCAACTTGCTTCTTTTCAGTTTGTACATCCTGGAGATCCTTCGGTGGTAGCATATAATATATTCCTGATTTCTTTTTATATCTTGTTTAATGGTTTCTAATAAATAGAGATTCTATTTTATCGTCTCTTATTTAGGACCTGCACTCTTGAAACACATCTACAAACCATAAGTTGAGTTATTTTTTGGAACTTAGCGTTCTAGTTTTTTCTTTATTAATCTTAAATGTGTTTTTACACTTTTTTAAAAAAGATTTTATTTATTTATTTGACAGAGAGATCACAAGTAGGCAGAAGAGACAGGCAGAGGGGTAGGAGGAAGCAGGCTCCTTGCTGAACAGAGAGCCCGACTTGGGGCTCCATCCCAGGACCCTGAGATCATAACCCAAGCTGAAGGCAGAGGCTTAACCCACCGAGCCACCCAGGTGCCCCAATTTTTACACTTTCGATACAACTTGTCACAAGTACAAAACCACACATTAAGGCCAGGATTCCAGAGTGGGAAATTCTGTTTATATTTTGATTACCTCACATAAAACAAGTTAGCAAGTCCTACATGTTTAGTGCTATCTTCCTTTCCATAGCAGCTTATTTGATTCTTAGCGGGGTTTTCAGCCAAATCTCTCTCCATTTTACATGCCGCTGACAGGTTAATCTTTCTGAAGCAATTGCATTAATCATTATTCCTAGGCTTAAAAGATTTAAAGTCTTTTCATTGCACGGACTTCAAAATCCTTTGTGAAATACATTGCAAATTCAAGAAGTGATGTTTTTATCTGCAAGAAATATGAATAATGAAAGGTTTTGGTCTCCTCTAAGGGAATTTGAAGTATTAACAAGCATACAGGGAGAAATTTAAGGGGGCAGAGGGAATACTTGAGTCACACTCCAGGCAAGACTTTTTAAGGTGCCAAGAGAGGTCAAAGGAACATCTCTGGTCACAGGGATCATATGCATCGCAGACAGAAAAAGCAAGTGTTCTGTTGCTCTCCAGGGAGATGTTTTTGACTCTTATCATTGACAATGTTTATAGCATATTGCTTTATGATATCCTCAAGCTTATTTCTGACATATATTCTTCCATAGAAGACAGCAAACGTGAAAAAAGTGAAAGTACTTAAAAATGTAGATTTTTTTTTTTTTTTAGGCTTAAAAGCTATGGACCAGCTCTTTTCGAAACATGGAGCTAAAATTATTTAACTAGCTGTATTTGCATTTTATTTACTGATTTAGGAAACAAAAAAAAAATTCTGGTGATTTATATGTTGATATTAAAAGTAGAGAGTCTCAGAACCTTTGAGTTGTTCATTCTGGTTTCCTTAGAAATCAGCATGGTTAGTTGTCTCTCTCAGTTCAGGTCTAGGGTCATCTTAGCAACCTGTTCCCTGGCCACCCTATTTCTCACACTTCATATCCTATTTTCTTCCTTCACTTTTTTTCTCTTAGCTTTTATCAATATATTTTACTTATTTGTCTTATTTGTGGCCTGCCTTTCCCATGGGAACATCAGGTCCATGAAGGCCAGAATTTTTAGCTGTTTTGTTCACTGCTTTATCCCTGCATCCAGAACAGAGCTTGGCACAGAGTAGAAAGTCAATTATTTGTTGGATGAATGCATGAAAAGACAACACAACTGCAAGTAAACCTCCAAACCATCTTTATTAAAGACTATCAATATAAAAATAGCTTCAATTATATAGAATATAGAAATACAACTCTACAAAATTAAATTATTTTCACATAGTTTAGTGTATAAAGTTTTAGTAACATTTAATAATGTATTTTAAAATATCCAAAGTATACATCCTTGTTCTCAAAAGTGTTTAGTGTTGAATATTTTTCTCAGCTTCTTTCCGACATTTTGTACAGTAGCAGGTATGATTTAGCTGATACCTTGGTTTTTAACCAATGGATATATAATAATAATAAATGGTAGTAGTAGGTGGTAGTAGGAGTAAATAACACTTTCATAGCACATGATATGTGCACAATTTAGAGGGAACTTATACAGACAACAAATAATTATTCACAATATTATTGTGAAGAATGTTCAAAGCAGACAAACCTAGTAAATTGGTTTTATGACTTTTCTCATTTGTGTCAGAAATATAAAAATCAGGCACTGCAAATTTACTATCTTGCCAGTATGCATCACCATCAACAGTTCCTTGGCACAAATAAGAAACTCTCCCTTGCTAAGTACAGTTCTCTAACCTGACAAAACGAAACAAACAAAAGAACACTAAAGAAAGGAGAGGGAGAGGGGAAGGGTGGAAGGTGCCGAATCTAAAATGTAATTTGGGGGGGGGGCTAAAAGATGTATGATGGTGATAAAACAGTATTTGATATTTCCAAAAATGATAGTTCTATAATCTTTTACATTTATAGTCTGGTAAAAGGGAACATCTGCAGAATGCTAATAAAATTCAACTTAAGAATATTTCTATATCAGCTAAAGCACACCTCTGGGGTATTTACACTGTCATGTTGTCCCCTTTTATTTAATAAAGTAGCAGATAGGCACTCATTGGCTAAAAATTAAATTGATCTTTCAGATGTGAATCTGAACATATTTGGAAAAATGGGCAGCTAGGTTTAGCTACAATGCTTACTTCAATATTCATTTAGAGATAACCACAATGTTTGGTTTTATTTCCTAAAAATTCAATGTCTCAAAAAAATACAATGTCTCTGCAACATGGACATTAAAGTATATATCTACAGTATAACAAATGATTTTCTACTTATTAAGACACGTAGTCTATTTTGTCTTTTTATTTTTGTTATTGAGTGGTTGTCTCAAGATGTTTTGACACCAGGAAAGTAGTTCAAAAGGCCAAAATTTCATTAACTGAAACAAAAAAGTCCCTTGTAATAAAAACCCCAGTTTTAGTTCAGTCTGTTTGAAAATCTGAGGTAACTGTTACATTTATTAATAAATCTTAGTACTGAAAATAGCTAATGTGTTTCGGGGGATATGTTAAGAAATTTAAGATACTTAATAAATACTTTTAAACAAAGTGCCTTATTGCCCATATATGTAGCAAGCAGAGCTAAGGCAGTGTTGGGGGTCTACCTACCATTCTGACCAATATTGTGATTTTAAGCGGAGAATATTTCAAGCTGTTTTTGTACATTTCAAGAACCGAAGTTTCTTTCTCTGATTTAAATGCCAAAGTTAAGGCCCACAAATCACTAGCAGGACAAATACAGTGGTTTGCATTTTAAATACCTGGGTGAAAATCTCTTAAACTGATTATATAGAGGTAACAGTGTTTCTTCGAAGACCAAATGTTTCAAAGGGTGCACTCACTGTGTTTTACAGTTAGTTCTAACCCCGAGGGCTCATGTTCCAGGTGTCTGAAGAGGCAATAGAGACTAACTTTAGATGTGTTGGCATAATTCCCCTTCTAAAGCTCAAGTCCTGAAAAAGAAAAAAACCCAGTATTGTAGTTTTGGGGGCATCTGAGACTTCAGGACGATCCACTGGGTAAATGTTAATTAAAAATACAGGGGTGCCTGGGTGACCCAGTGGGTTAAGCCTCTGCCCTCGGCTTGGGTCACATCTCAGGGTCCTGGGATGGAGGCCCGAAGCGGGCTCTCTGCTCAGCGGGGAGCCTGCTTCCCCCTCTGTCTCTGCCTGCTGCTTTGCCTACTTGTGACCTCTCTTCCTGTGTCAAATAAATAAATAAATAAAATAAAATAAATACAGTATTTGTTATGTTTTTCCTTCTTTCTCAATCCACCAAATTCTCATAGCCAAAGAAAATTCTTATCCTGATAGTTTTGATTCTCTACTAAGGGTCAAGTAAACTATTGTTCATTAACCTAATTTCCTTTGGGAAAACCCACTACATAACAAACCATATTTATAAGGCAAAAATTAGTATTTAACGGAAGTCACCACAGGATTTCTTTCACCCAACTTTTTCAGTGTTTTTAACATGATCAGGTTTTTAAAAAAGATTTACATATAGTTGTCCTGAAATTCAAGAACTATATAAAATGTGTGTGCATACCTGAATATATCTCAATAAAAAGAAAAATAATAAAATTTTATGTACAAATAGTTTAAAAACTATATCCTACCCAAAATAGAGCTGACCTGAAAGAGTACACAAAATCAAATAAATAGAAAAATAAGTTTAATTTTCAGTCCTCAGTTCTTCTACCCCATGGTGAGGTTATCTACTAAAACAGTTAAACTAAAGCAAAGTATTGGATGTAATAAGGAATCAGTACTTGGACATAACAAATTTAGGTACTGAGCAATAGGCAAGAAGAAAAAAAAAACTGCACATTTTATTTAAGAGGGACTTCAGAGGTCTCAATACAGTCATCTCATTTGTAATGAAAATTCTGAACTCAAAGAGGTACAAAAACTTGCTCACAGTCCCAGCACTAATTAGAGGACTTGGTCACATCCTCCTGATTTTGTGATTCTTTTACCAGATATCATTATTAGTCTTGAAAATAATATACAACTTATGAATTGTATATTCTTTCAAGATAAATATGTCCTCTATTAATTTTATATAAAACACTTCACATTATTTCAAACTAGTCAATAAATTAACATTATATACCAAAATGGAAATAAGTTAACAATCTCTTTTTTTCAAGTCTCACAATACTACATAAGATTAGTGTATCAAATCCAAGAGCACATCATCTCAATATTTAACAATATTATGTTCAAAACTGAACAGTTAAGAGAGGCTAACCCTTATCTTCTTGTGTATGGGTGTCAGCAATTCTAACACCGTTCAATGTTCTGTGCACAGTTGCCATGCATCAAGAAAACACAGCTACACGGTTAATCCAAAGAACAATTTAAAAGCCATTTCTACGGCAATTTCTGTGACTGAATCATGAAAACAGACATAAAGTTCTTGAAGTTTGGGATGAAGAAAGAGTCTCCTGTAGAGGAAAAGAACATGCTCATTTCAGAAATTAAAAAAACAAATATCAAAGGGGAAAAACTCCAACCTTTCAATTTATTTTATTTTATTTTAGTTTCTGACAGAATTCATAGTGAAATAAAAGCCACTAATCTAAATCTATAGTAGGGGAAAATACAGTTAGATTTATTTTTAAATAAATAATACATGCCTTAGGTCAATTATTTTTATTTTTCCAGAGTAAAATAGCCTATTTTATCAATATATATATTACCATATACCTCAGTTTTAAAATATTAAATTTAGTCATTATTATTAAAATAAAGCCAAATGTGTTACTATCGTTAAGTACAATAGCTATTAAACATGGTCATTTACTTTCTAAATGTTAATTATTATTAAAACATTCTATGAGGGAGCCTGGGTGGCCCAGTCAGTTAAGTGTCTGCCTTTGGCTCAGAGGTCACGCTCCCAGGGTCCTGGGATCGAGTCCCTCACTGAGCTCCCTGCTGAGCCGGGAGCCTGCTTCTCCCGCTCCTCCTTGCTTGTGCTCTCTGTCACTACCTCTCTCTCAAACAAATAAATAAAATCTTAAAAACAACAACAACAAAAACAAAACATTTTATGATTGTTCTTTTTGTAGACAGTACTTAACTGGAAATACCATTAAAACTTTAATTTTTTTTAAAGAGTTAAAATTTTTATATATTTAGTCAGTACTAGTATAGATAAATCAGACAGTTTAAATCAGGTATATTTTGTCTGACTTCCTTAAATTCCTGTATTCTATATAGATCTGCATCATAATTCAATACCTCTTGATTCTTCCTAGTCCAATTGTGAATGTAATTTAGGCTCTGCTATACACCTGTATGTATGCCTAACTGTTTTTATCTCTATTTTCTCTGTCTACACCAGGGACACTTTGCTGCTCCTAGCTCAATCTTCCAATAGCACAGCTCTGATCACACTACACAGACTTGAACTTATGCTGATGTTCCTTCCAAGCTTGGCTGGGTACACATCACAATCACAAAGAGCTTACCACTACCCTAGATTCTGTTGGCAGGTCTGGGGTGGGCCAAAGGCATCTCTGATTTTAACAAGTGACTCTGATGATTCTAAATCTCATGGACCAACACACAGGATTACTGCTTTGGATAACGTTTGTTATATAGTTCAGTACTGCATGGTAGGTATCTGGTAACATCGGTCTCACCTAACTCTGTGTCCCTTCCTCCACCAATTCTTTAACCCAATTCAAAGAATCTTCAGTGCCTCAACATTTCCCTCAAAATTAAATTCCTTAGTCAGGAATTGAAGGCTCTCTACAGTGGCCCTAACTTAGCTTTCCAACCTGATCTTCCATTTTATCTTTGCCTATGTCACTCCCTTACCATCCTGGCAAATCAGTCTACTTAACTGCTCTGCCTTATGATTTCCCTTGTTTCAGTCTTTGTTCATCCCATCCTTTTCCTAGAATGTTCTATCCAAATCTAATTCATTTTCAAACCAGATCAAATGGAATCTATAAGCCTTTCTATATAATCCCAATGTAGATTTTTACCCCTTCCTCAGAACTCCCATAGCATTTGGTTGTATCAACTCATTTATTCAATCTATCTAAAAAAACTCTATCCAGAAATACATATATGTCTGAGCATATTTCATATTTTTTTCTGGTGGGTATAAGACCATGAATGTAATGACTATGACTTTATGTTTGCCTTACCAGCCTCCCACCACCATATTTTGCCAAGCACAACTCCATTTATTAAATTGTGATGTATTTATCAAGTGACTATGTGCCAGATGCTGTTGCAGTTACCATTGGTGGACAAGACAGATACAATTCCTGATCTCATAAAGCCTAACTTCCTAGTGAAGGGGAGAAAGACCATAAACAAATAAGAAAATAAACAATAATAGTAGCCACTTTAATGCAGGAAAGAGATCCTGGATTCTCTTTTTGAGGCTAGCACTGATCTGAGTATCAAGGAACCAGACACCCAAAGTTAAGAAGCTGAACATTTCACACAGGGACTGTAGGAATAAGATTCAATGGATGCCAGTGTGGCTGTGCACAGTGGATGGAGACAGAAATGACAAAAGGTGGAAAGAGGTGGGCAAGGGCTACGGTCAGGCAGCCTCTTGTAGTTGGTGGGTTGGAGTCGGGGTTGGGGGGAAGGAGAGGAAGTGGTAAAGAAAGGAGAGAGGGAAGAAAAGAGGGAAGGAGGGACGGAAGGAAAGCAACAGCATTAAAATTGTGGAGTCATTATCTTTTAGTGTATTACTATGATAATTTTATAAGGTTACTGAATCAGCCTTTTATTTTAATAGAAAAAAGCCTTGGCAGTCTGAGAAAGACAAATACCACACAATTTCACTCACATGTAGACATTAAGAAGCAAAACAAAGAAAAAGAGACAAACCCAAAACCAGATTCTTAAATACAGAGAACAAACTGGTGGTTACCAGAGGGGAGGTGGGTGGGGGGAATGGGTGAAATACGTGGCGGGGTTAAGGAATGCACTTAAGGAGTAATATATAGAATTGCAGAATCATTATATTGTGCAGCTGAGACTAACAGAACACTGTATGTGAATTATTCTTGAATCTAAAAATAAATTTTAAAAAAGAAAAAGTAAGAAGAGAAAGACTTGAGAGGAATTTAAAGGAGATACTTAGTAAATAAAATAAAAATTCTAAAATGTATTAAAATATTATAGTTGTTACAGGGGCACCTGGCTGGCTCAGTTAGAAGAGCATGAAACTTGATCGTGGAGTCATTCATGAGTTCCACACTGGGTGTAGAGATTACATACATACACACATACATACATACTTGCCTAAAAATATATATTACAGTTAGATTAATAATTCCATGCCTACATTTTAAAATGCTTTTCTCTTTTACCATTTTTCTTTCACTTTTCTAACATTTATTTCCCTTTCAAATCCTTTTCTTCCCCCACTTACCCTACTACCCAGTAAGCCATAACTGGTGGTGCTTTCCTCTGATCCGTCCACTTTTCAGGTGAGCACTCAAACAACACACCATGTTCTTTCACAGGGTTAAGAGAAGATACAGAATTTGTAGAACCTGAATGATCTCCACGATTTAGTGCCTTCTTTTTCTGTAAATTAATATGTATTATTAGTATTAACTGGTATTACAGTGTTACTTTAAAATGTTTTCCCATTCAGATTTGAATTGGCTACTTAAATGCCTAGAATGACATTCTTCTGGTCTGTGGGAAAATTTCTATTCTTCCTCATACTTAGTTTAAATACCATCTCCTAAAAGAGATTTCATGGATACAGTGTCCTTGAAGTCTCCCAGAAAACATTTGTTCATAGCCCTGTATTATTAGTATTTACATTAATTACATTAGTAGTTTGTAGGTCTGTCTTCCCCAGTAGATTATATGCTTTTTCCAGGCCAGAGACCAAATGGTGTTCATCTTTGTGTGTTTTGAAGCAGCAGAGGCTAGTACATAAGAAGATGCTTAATAAATAGATTACAAGTGAGTAGGTTACTAAATTCATAGATGATTCTGTAATAAAATGAAAACACATATACTTAAAACAGTATGTCTCTTCCTTTCATGCATCCCCTTTAAGTTACCCATTGATTAAATTATTAGCAAAACAATGACTCATTTGGATTAAAAAGACTTTTTATAAGGCTAAATAAAACTTAGTGGAGTGACCCTGGATTCTTTTCTTTCTCTCAAAACCCTTATCTAATCCGTCAACAAATCATTTTTGCTCACCCTCCAGAATCCAGAAACCACTATCATTCTTTGCTTTGAGAAGTTCCATAGCCTCCTGACTGGTCTCTGCTTCCACCCTCCCTACCCTACAGAGCTTGTTCTTCATACAGTAGTAGCCTGAGTGATCCTTTCAAAAATGTAGGATCCTGTCCTTCCTCTACTCAGAACTGTCCCAAGAGCTTCCCATCTCCTTCAGAACAAACCCCAAAGCCCTTCAATCTATCAGGCCATGTGCGATCTGGCCCTGCTAACCTCTGCCATCTCAACTCCTAGCACTCTCCTCCCTGCCAGCTCCAGCATTCTCAGTCACTCCTACTTCTGCAGCTTTGCACTTGAATTTGTTTTCCCTGTCTGGAAGCCCTGCCTCCAGCCTGCCACTTAACGTGCTTCCTTCCTCACTTCATTCAGGTCCTTGTTCAAATATTATCCTATCTTACTATTCCTCTTGAAACTTACCTACCTGACATATTGTACTACTTGCCAGTTCATTAGTCTTTCCCTTGAGAATATAGACTTTGATAAAGTAGACAGTTAGTTGGACGTGGGCTGGAGGAAAAGTGGTGATAAACAGGGGACACTTTAGAAGCCTGAGGACAGGGACACCTGGGTGGCTCAGTCAGTTAAGCGTCTGCCTTTGGCTCAGGTCATGATTCCAGGTCATGATTCCAATCATTCCCATGATTCTGGGATAAAGTCCTGCACTGGGCTCCTTGCTCAGCAGGGAGTCTGCTTCTCTTTCTCTTTCTGCCTCTCCCCCTGCTTGTGCTCTCTCTCTCTGACAAATAAATAAAATCTTAAAAAAAAAAAAAAAAAAAGGAACCTGAGGACACAACAACCTGACTTTTCGGCTTTTAACATCCTGGCCTAAATTAAGGCTTCCAATAAACCTGGGTTGACAGACCAAGAGCCATGTGTGGAGAAGAGTGCTGTCCTCTTCAACCACTGCCCCAGGGTAACGAATAGCTTCATTATAATATATTTAGATTGTGCTTTCAATGCCCCTCATCTCCATGGAAGAAGATGACCATGATAGTTCTGGCAAGAACCCTGTAGGGCCAGTGGTTGGGAGTAGGACCTATGCCCAACCGTAGGAGTCCCTTAGATGACTGGAAACCACCTCAGTGGGAAACTGTCCTAGCTACGACCCATAAACTATGGAAACATAAAAAGAAAAGATACTCCTAACCCTGGTGCAGTTGCCATCTCTGGGCCTGCCTGCTCTCTCACCTTGAGAGTGTACTGTCCTCAATAAACTGCTGTATGTCTGCTATCTTCCTTCTGGCCATTTTTATTCAAGCATGGATCCTCACGTAAATATTTCATGAGGGAATCCAAGAACCCAGACCTCCACTCACACACTGGTAATAGCTTCAGGAAGAAAAGGACTTTGTTCACTGCTATATCCCCAGCACCAGAGTAGTGTCTGGTGCATAGTGGATACCTCAATAGTTCAGTATTATGGGAAAGGCTAATTTGCATTACTATTACTGAATAATTACATTACTATTACTGAATTATTAATGAAAGATTCCCTTAGAGACTCTATCAGTTATATCAAAAGGAAAGGAGGAGCATAAGACCACAAAGCACATATATATGGTTGGACATAACATTTTGCTGAATACCAATTTCTGAGAGCTCAAAGAAGAAATCCTATAAGGGGCACCTGGGTGGCTCAGTTGGTTAAGCATCTGACTCTTGATTTCAGTTCAGGTCATGATCTCAGTGTCGTGAGACTGAGCTCTGTGTTGTACGCACAGAGCGGAGCCTGCTTAAGATTCTCTCTCTCCCTCTCCTGGTACCCCACGCCCAGTTTGTGTGCTCTCTCTCAAGAAAGAAAGAAAATTTTTAAAAATCCTACAAAACACAGAATTTTATTGCTGAATGAATTCTAAGACATAATTCAGGCCACTTACTTTATAGCTGAGGAAATAGGAAGAATCCAGGCTCAGATTAAATTCCTTACTCCCAGCCCAATATTCTTCTACGTTTAAACCCAAGTTCTTCATAATTTTAACATTTTTTTTTGTTTTTTGAGAGAGAGAGAGAGAGAGACAGAGTAAGAGCAAAAGGAGGGGGAGCAGCAGAGGGAGAGAGAGAAGCAGACTTCCCGCTGAGCAGCGAGCCCAATGTGGGGCTCGATCCCAGGACCCCGAGTTCATGACCTCAGCTGAAGGCAGACGCTTAACTGACTGAGCCAGCCACCCAGGTGCCCCCAATTTTAGCATTCTTCTTTTTAAAACTTTTTTTTCAATTTTAGCATTCCTAATACACATATTGCTATATACATTTCAATCATCTTCAGAGGGGTGTTTTGTTTTTTGGTTTTGGCTGTGCTATGTTTGACCACTGACAAATAAACTTCTGTATGTTTATCCCTTTCAAGAAATCAACACATACTTTTCCCTGCCATTAAGATAATCTAGTTGATTTTTTAATTACATATAACATTATTACTTATGCAGAGGTAAAGTATTAAATGAAACTTCATCCTGGATTAAAAAGCAAGCAAGAAATGAATCAAGTGGCTAAAAGATTTGCAACAGTATTGTGTCTATCACTGTACCTTACCCTATTATGTTACAAAACACCTTATATTACTGACAGAATACTTAAAGAATTATCAGACTTAACAATTGGTAGATACTACTGTCCGAGCAATGGCTGACTCACAGATCATAAATATAGAGGCTAATTTACATTATAAACTACCATATTCTACTTTGCGATAGAAAAACACAGGTCCACCATTTTTTGGAATAGCATTCCAGGACATCAAAATCAGTTATTATGAAACAAAGCTTTTAAGTTAAATATTGTGAGTATAATCCTTTTGGCACTCAAGTTAGATTGTGTACTCTAATTAGACTGGGTTACTGTTAAAAAAAATTAAAATAAAAACTGTCATTGTTGGACATACTGATTAAAGAGCTTTTAGAGAGAATATTTAGAGATCTGTAAACAAAACTGACAAAACTATATTTATACCTCTTCTACCAATGTCTGTTGGAAAATTGCACGAATGGAGAGACAACACTGATGGAAATTCTTTATTAGTTGAGGGTGGATAGAGCCACTTAGCTGTGCCACCTCTTCATAGGTCGGAGTAATAAAGATCCCTTGCACAGTTTCTAAGGCAACATAGTGGAAAAGTGTGTTCTCAGGACCAGATGTTAATCTTGAAAAGAACAAAAAAATAAGAAAAAAAGAGAGAAGATATTTAAGTAAACTTAAAAAATATTGCTTCGTTTTGAACGTTGTAGACTCCAAACTTTTATCTACAGTATAATATTGGCAACGTAATCAGGACAGGAAAACTAGGACAAACATCTAAGTCCCATTTTCTTCTTAACTAGAATACAGGCTAGGGCTATTATCAATTCCTTAATGGAGGCAAATATCACATGGGAGGCGAGGATAAATACACACCAATTGCAAACAATTGTTCCTTTGCTAAACAACCCAAATTAGCTAAACCCCTCTTTCTCCATAGTTGGTAATAAATTATCAGCTCCTTTCTGGTTCGGATACCTATAAGTCATAAATAAGGTATCAGCCTAGAGTTGACCACATACAAGAACACCTTCCAACAAAATAAACATATTTAAATTAGTAGCCTAACAGTCCAACTGATGATCCTGAAGAAAAATAAAATTATTATTACCAACTGCAAAGCGGGTTAATATTCTGGAATACTATGGCATTTACTTGTATTCTACTACTCATTAGAGTCTTCCTTCCCTTCCATGTTCTCTTACTATTTTCATTTCTCTGTTCTTCTTTTCCATCTTTTCTTGCCCTATTTAGGTCTCAGACATGCCAGCAGAACCTATATATACCGCTTATTTCTACCAGTGGTAAGAAGAGCTAAAGAAAAACAATAACAGCAACAACAACATAATAATAGTTATCATATATTCAGTGCCCTCTCTGTGCCAAGGAAGTGCCACAACATACCTTAGTCTTAATGCTCCTAATGACCCTTTGAGATGTTCAATAGTATTACTACCCTCATTTTAACCATGAGGGAATCAATCTTCAGGGATCTCAGATTGCCTGAGGTCACAAAGCTAAATGGCTGAGTTTAGTTAACTCTGAAGCTTCCTCCACTAAACCTTGCCTTTTTCCTCTTCATCCATAACTTCTGATTAGCAATCTTTAAGCATATGGACTGCAATTCTACATTTGCATCTCAAACACTCAAGCTGCCCCCATTCTAATTCTAATATCTATTTAAAAGAAATCCCTCCAGTTTTTATTTTTTTTTCCCCCAGTCTCAAGCACAGGACAAAGAAAAGGCATATTTCAGCTCTTAGCTCTAGGCTGCCTTGATCACCCATGTTAGTTCTACTCCTATTAAACTGTTAATTAGGCTGCATAATCAGAATAATTTCTCCTTCTTATTATTGACTTATGGCCTTGGTTCTCTTTTAAGACCAGGGACAGACAGGGAAGGAGATCATCTATAAATTTTTCTCATCTATAAATCAGAACTTACTATAAGATGTTTCAATGATTAAGGTCATAGTGTTGAAATTTTTTGTATGATTTTTATTTGTACATGTCTGCTTGTCCAGATAAAAGTGTGCAGTTGAGTTTGTTACATACTAATTGATCCTGACAGATCTGCTTGTCATCACCTAATAGCTGCACAAGAAGTGAATATGTAACATTTCATATTTTAATAATTATAGACAATTTAAATTGCTGAAAATGCTCCTCTTACTCAGTTCCTTTTTCTTCAGAATTCTCTACTTAATGTAAGTTTGAGGTTTCATCTCTTTTTGAAAATGAGAGACTCTGAGAGATATGCAGCAAACAAGTTTATTAGGGAGAACCTTGGGGAACAACACCTGTGGCGGAAAGTGTGCAGGAAGCAGGATTGAGCAAAGGAGAAGCTGCAATCAAAACAAAGGTCTCCGCAGATACCACCTGGAACTCTGAAGCTTGGATGGCCTTTTAGAGTTGTCTTGAATTTAGGCAAAGGGCCAAGTCTTTGTATTCACTTATCTATTAGCCACTGGATGTGGGCTATTCCCAGGGAGATACTATAAACTTGGATGAGTCAATAAACTTCCAAACCCAGCAAGGCCAGGGAGGGACTCAGCTGTGTGTAGTTATTAGCACTCATTACCCCTACCCCTGCCAACTGCCAACACTGGGCAGGAGTACCCTGGGCTATGGAGTATCTGGGGAGCAGACCACAGAATCCACTAAGGTCTAAAAATGTAAATACAATAATTTAAAAATATACACAACCAAAAGGGAGGTTACCCATGGAAAGGAGATAAAAGGGGCTTTCACATTTTGAAACATTACTCTGTTTTTTTAATCTTTTGTAATAGGAGTACATGTTCCCTATATGTGTAATGAAAAACATTAGTGAATTAGCATAGATACTACCTTTAATAATGTAAGATATATCATAATTACATTTTTGAATTAAATCTCTATATGGTATGGATTTGTACTTTCTAACTATAAAATTTTCTTAAAGACACGATGTTTAAGTGAAAAAGAATATTATAAGGAAGTTTCTTACTTCATTGTGTTATATATTTCCAGGTCTTTTTCTGAAAGGTTCTTTTTCAAGTTCCCCAAATGAAATGGATTTGGAAGACTAACCTTCTTTTTAGTGACCTGAAAAATACAGTTAAGTAGATCAGTTTGTATCTAAGAATGGAATCAAACAGCAGAAATAGTGTAAAAACTGAAAATCCTTCTAAGAGAACTACTTACTGTTTTGCAAAGTTTCCTTTAAATATTTTTGATGCTAACTTGTACCTCCTGCTTTGTACCTTGTATCTCCTTTGTACTTGTACCTCCTTTGCTAACAGTGACCTCGGGACCATGTCTTAGGACATGATAGTTCTTGCTGAAAACTTACCAGAGCCATTATCAAGTTTTGTTATGTTTTATATGTATATGTACTTATCTCCTTCTCTAGACTTTGTACTTCTCAAAGGCACGTGTCTTATCCATCTTTGTATCTTCTCTGTTTAGCATGGCCCTTGGCACATAGTAGGTGTTCAATCAAGTTTGTCGAATGGCTCAATCCTAGGGATTAATTCAATCTCTCTTAGGAACTATTCATGGTTCTTTAAATCTATTACCTCCTAAATTATGTTTCCGACCAATTTCACTGACCGGATAATGAATATAGTAAGAATTTATTTCCTAAATACATCTACCTAAGGTCCCAAGAGTTCTGCATTGTTTGGAATTAGAAGATGGAATCTATGGCTATTTATGCCATGACACTCAGAATCTCAGATCTTTTTTTTTTTAATATTTTATTTATTTATTTGACAGAGATCACAAGAAGGCAGAGAGGCAGGCAGAGAGAGAGAGAGGAGGAAGCAGGCTCCCTGCTGAGCAGAGAGCCCGATGCAGGGCTCGATCCCAGGACCCTAGGATCATGACCTGAGCCGAAAGCAGAGGCTTTAACCCACTGAGCCACCCAGGCGCCCCAGAATCTCAGATCTTATTTGTGACCCTTCTCAGGTTCCTCCTTCTTTATGCCTTGTCTGGCATTGCCTCCAAAAACCCAAATGAGAGTTTTAAAAATGTTTTGAAAGAGAAGCATCATTAGAATAAGCATAACATCCCCCAGTGTGATTACTTTGATGATCATTTGGATACATTATGGTATTTTCATGGAGAAAAAACATGGGAAAATGATAAAAATAAACAACCTGAAAACTGAACATTCTCTTTATTTTATAATCACATTTTAAATTCTTGACTATGGAGACCAGACCTTCACAGATGCAGATAAAAACAAAACAAAATAAAACAAAAAACTCCTATAAAAACCTGTAGAATAACATATACATACACAAATATTTACAAGTATACACTTACATGTATTTTTTATAATTATATACTTATATATAAGTTTCTGATTTTCTTTTTGTTTCTGCTGAATATTTTATTGGTTATTTAGCCAGATCAGACCTCTAAAATCCCCCACAACTAGGATGTTTTCACATAACACTGTGAATACTGAAGGAAGATGAATAGGGAAAGCAGGATTAAGCAATTTCCCTACTTGTAAGTAGTGTCAAGCAGCTGTCCTGGATGCTACTATTTTATTACTTGATATTTTTTTCTCTTTTTGGTTCTAAATCACTGGTTTGCCAACAGTAACCAAAACAACCAGTAGTTCAAATGAAGAATGATCCCGACATTAAATTAAAAATTTTCTTGCATTTTTAAAATAAGAACTGGAGGGTGCCTGGGTGGCTCAGTGGGTTAAGCCTCTGTCTTCGGCTCGGGTCATGATCTCAGGGTCTTGGGATTGAGTCCCACATTGGGCTCTCTGCTCAGCAGGGAGCCTGCTTCCCCTTCTCTCTCTCTGCCTGCCTCCCTGCCTACTTGTGATTTCTCTTTCTCCACCAAATAAATAAATAAAATCTTAAAAAAAAAATAAAATAAGAACTGGCAAGACAGCTTAGCTCAATGTACACACTTGAATGAACACACACCTTAAGCAAGGCCCCACTTTCCTCCGAGGCTTCAGAGCCCTGAGATTCTCTTTGCTTCCATATGGCATCTGGTGTAGTATGGGGGCTCAGGCCAATGCCTTCTCTACTTTCACAGCCGTTGTCAGATCCTCCACTGCTTCGGGAAGGGCTGGGCTTACATGCCTTTAAGGAATAGTCACCAAAAAGAATTCTTCTGCATGTTGGAGAGGTTGCTACCTTGGAAGTACCTGGTAGCCTACTGAGGATAGGTGAGGTTGTCAAACTATCTAATTTTTCATGTGATCCAGTAAGGAACCAGTCAGCACAAGACAAACAGGGGCTGGGAGAAGCTGTTAGCTGTTCACTGATGCGACAATCTATTCCTCCCAGTTGGTGAAGAGTTGTTTTGACCTGATCCACATAAATACAGTCGGGTCCAGGATTCCCAATAGCTTTGGATGCACAGCCTCCAGATTCTAATAGCACACATAACATATAGTGCTTCTATAAGAAAAGAATATTAATAGAGCTTTAGCTACATGAAAATGTTTATATGTAGCATGCATGTATACATTTATGAATACTAACAACATACGGCATAATCATATGATTTTTAAAAACTCCTCCCTCCCTTTGTTAGTTATTTTCAGTGCTGCTTGACTGTCCTTGAAAACAAATCTTCAATCACATTGCCTTCCCCTGGTATACCATCAACTACTACTTTTTGGCACATGTCACAAGGTAGCTTTCAAAGAGCCACAATTATTGGAAGTCCTTTTATTTACAATCCCATGTTTATTCTCATTCTATATCCTTTTCTATTTCCCAAGACAAACAAGAGGATAAAACCACTATAGAAATATGAACAAAAGATCTTAAGGACCTGATAACAATCTTATTCTGGGTTTCATTAATTAATTTCTCCACAAGCATTAAAGGGATGCAAAAGAAAAGGAATAAGGGACAAATAACATTTTCTTGAATACTGGTATCTGAAATGCTCATAATTTTAAATTATTATGTTTGTTTGAGTATATATTTAGATAGCAAATGGCCAAAAAAACTCAACCCCAAAACACACACACAAATATACACACACAGAAACCAAGGTAAACTTACCAAGCCAACAATTAGCAAAAAATATCTCCCTTCAGGTTCCTGAAAGACTTCAGTGTTTGAGTCTGTAGAAGGTTGGAGGTGATGTTGAGGAAACACCTCTCTCCATATAACCAACTGACCAATTCTTTGTTTTGCTGCTAAAGGCAGTAGGCAGTAGTGGCGACAGTATATAGCAATATCAATAAGATCATCTTTGGGCAAATGACTGCATATCAAATAACCCTTGAATTTAACCACAAAGAACAAAAGTCAACTAGTGATATAAAGCAATAATGCCATATTTCTAAGAGTTTCATAGGTACTTCAGTTGGCTTAAAATATTCCAGTTTCAACTGGAATAAAGACACAGTAAAAATAATTTGTTTTTTCCTGATGCCAATTAGAGATCCAAGATTTATGAAAAGTCAAGTCTACAACAGATAGACTTTAGTGCAAAACCAGATCACCTGAGTAGCATAAGCCCGAGTGTTTGGCAACATTAGAAAAGAACTGAATTCTGAGGATGGAAAGTGGAGAAGAGAAGCAAAAGGTAAGGTGAGGAGAGACCTAGTTTTCACTATGCACCATTCTGTTTTGTCAGATTCCTTTTTAGATAGGTTTTAATTTGTGTTTAAAAATCTTCTTGAAATATGAAAATACTTAAATTCATTTGATGCTTAAATTGCTGTACATGGAAGTCAACTAATTGTTAGATTTACTAAAAAGATACAGGGTTATGTTGAGGATAAGAAAAAAGTACACTCATTGATGCAAAAAGAAATCATTAAAGTGTTACTTTTCTCTCTTACACATTTGGTTCCTTGAGTATTGTTTCTCCTTTACACATCCACAAATGCTTTAGATCAGGTTAGATCAGTTTGCTTTAGATCATTTACATCAGAAATATTTATTGTATTTGTAAATATGTAGGTACCAGTGTCTTGGTTTTTTTTTTGTTGTTGTTTGTTTGTTTTTTAAAAGTCCTTAATCTAATAGTAACAAGCTTCAAAGGAAAAGGAAGAAATATATTTTCGTGTTTGCAGAAGTTTGAGAAAATTTGTTTTAGGTCTGTTCATATAGCAGTTGGACATTTATAAAAATTTCAAGCTTCAACCTACCTTGTAAAATAGAGAAGACCCTAAAATTGTATACAGCCGCCTCATGTCATAGTAATCCTCAGACTGGGGAAGAAAAACCACAGTGGATTTATATTCTGTTTTTTCATGATAAAAAACATCTTAGTTAAGCAACAATGGTTAAAATGGCAATTACATTGTTTAGTAACTGAACTTTTCATACTGCCTTCTTTAGAAATGAATATACAAGGGTATTAGGAAGAAAGATAATGTGCATGTATTTTTGATGGAAAACAATTTTATTTTTTAATCTTTTACGATACTGTTGATTAGAGATATCTAAGAACATATGATTAGTTACTACAAGAGGGACTGAAACAAGTCTATCAAGACAAAAAGCTTCTACTATATATCATCTAAAATATCCCATATTACCAAATAATTTTTTTAAAAAGATTATTTATTTATTTGACAGACAGAGATCACAGGTAGGCAGAGAGGCAGGCAGAGAGAGAGGAAGGGAAGCAGGCGCCCTGCTGAGCAGAGAGCAGGGCTTGATCCCAGGACCCTGAGATCACGACCTGAGCAGAAGGCAGAGGCTTTAACCCACTGAGCCACTCAGGCGCCCCCAAACAATATTTTTAAAGGTATAATTTGATAAAACCTGTTTGGGAACAACTGATTAGTATATATATATATAAAAATCAAATACACAAACCCTTTGAGTAATTTTGGTTCCAAAAATCTACAGAAATGCTCAAACAGGAGAATCAAGATTTTTGTATAAAAAATTAGTAGCAGAACTATTTGTGAAAGGCAAAAATTGGAGATAAAGTCAAGTGCCACAATGGAGAATGGTTAACAAAATTAGATATGTTCATACTATAGACTATCATAGGTCTGTTAAAAAAATAAGGTTGATCTATATGAGCAGGCACAAAAGGTTTTAAGGTATACTGTTGAGCAAAGACTGCAAGCTACAGAACAAAATATTCATTATGATGTAATTTTTTAAAAAGAATAGCATCCTCAATGATATACATGTACGTGTATACACATGTGCTGGTTTGTGTGTACCAATGTGTATAGAAAAAAGAATATGTTTCGTATGGAAGAATATGTTTCAAACTGTAAGAAAAGTTAAATTAGAGATAGATCTGGGGGGGGATGAAGAGGGAGGACATTTGTTTTTAATAACCATGTTTACATTTTACCCAATTATGCATGTATTACTTTAATAATCTTAAAAAAAAACCAAAACAATGAAACCTAAAAAAAAACTGAAAAACGAGAAAAAACCTAAATATTTCTCAGTTGGAAAATGGATAAACAATGTGAAACATTCATACAATGGACTACTACTCAGGAGTACAAGGGACTAACTATAGATGCATACAGTGGCATGAATGAATCTCAAATGAACTATGCTAACTGAATTAAGTCAGGCCCCTCAAAATTATCTATTATCTAATTCAGTTTATAGGGCATTCCAGAAAAGGTAAAACCCATGGGGACAAAAACAAATCAGTAGTTGCCAAGGGCTGGAGGTAGGTAGGGAGAAGGGCTGACTATAAAAGGGCACAGAAGAATTTACCAAATATAAATTATACCCTAATAATAATTTTAAAAACTAAAGAAAACAAAATTAGGATGTAAGATTAAATCTTAAATCTAATTTCACAAAAAGTTTAGAATAAATCCTTATTTTCATTTTTTAAGGTAAAATTCATTGTGAATTGTTCTGCAAGCTTTAAAAAAAGATATTTTTATTTAATTGAGAGTTGGGGGTGGGGAAGGGCAGAAAGAGAGGAGAGAATCCTCAGGCAGACTCCACCATGAGCATGGAGCCCGATGCGGGGCTTGATCTCAGGGCCTTGGGATCATGACCTGAGCCAAAACCCAGAGCTGGCCACTTAACCAACTGAGCCACCCAGGTACCCCTGTTCTGCCAATTTTGACAAATGTGCATAGTTATGTTAAGTGTCATCAACATCAAGATATATAACAATTCCATCAACACTCTTGCCAAATTTTTCACTGGGTAGTATTTCCTTGCATGAACATACTACAATTGCCTATCAAGACACTGAGGGACACTTGAGTTACTTGAATTTTTTCCAGTTGTTGGCTATCACAAATGAAGCTGTTATGAATGTTTGTGTATAGGTCTTGTATTGACATAGGCTTTCACTTCTCTGGGGTAATTAGAAGAACAGAATGGCTGAATCATATGGTAGGTGTATATTTAGGTTATTAAGAAACTGCAAACTCTTTTCCAAAGTAGTTGTACCATCTGACATTCTCAATTTATCAGTTTTCTTCTTTCTTTATGTATGTTGTGTCTTGATGTTGTATCCAAGGAATCCCAATAGAACTTTTTCTAACCACAGAAAATATTGTTAGTTCCAATGCTCATTAAAGTGATGTTACATAAACCAGGAATTAGACTTTTAATGAAATCTATTAGATGTAAGTTCCTAAAACCTGGAATTTTTAATACTTTAAACTGTTCCTAATGCTTAGTGTCTATCTAAACATTCTCCATCAGTGAAAAGATTTATGACCTATGAAGAGTTCACCATGTTTAAGTTTCCATTATTTTTACAAACAAAATATGCTTCCATTTGCTCAGGATCTTAGTTAAGACTGAACTATTCTTGGGGCACCTGGGTGGCTTAGTGGGTTAAGGGTCTGCCTTCAGCTCAGATTGTGATACTGGCATCCTGGGATGGAGCCCCGTGGAGCTTGCTTTTCCTCCCTCTGCTGCTCCCCCTGTTTGTTTTCTCTCACTTTCTCTTCCTGTCAAATAAAAAACTACTGATTTAAAACAAACAAACAAACAAACAAAAAACACTAAGCTACTCTTTGAAGCAATCAAGATTTCACCAGCAAGCTTATGATCCAGCCCTCACTGCTTCTACATCTAATTTCCCATTTACTTTTTTTTTTTTAAAGATTTATTTATTTATTTGAGAGAGAGCAAGTGAGCATACAAACAGAGGTGAGGGGCACAGGGAAAGAGAATCCTCAAGCAGACTCCCTGCTGAGTGGAGCCCAAAGTAGGGCTCTATCCCATCACCCTAAGATCACGACCTGAGCTCAAATCAGGTCACTTAACCAACTTAGCTACCCAGGCCCCCACTGCCCCCACCATTTACTTTTAAAAGAACTTTTCTTCTGGGGCACCTGGGTCGCTCAGTGGGTTAGAGCCTCTGCCTTTGGCTCAGGTCATGGTCCCGGGGTCCTGGGATCGAGCCCCGCATCGGGCTCTCTGCTCAGCAGGGAGCCTGCTTCCTCCTCTCTCTCTCTGCCTGCCTCTCTGCCTACTTATAATCTCTGTCAAATAAATAAATACAGTCTTAAAAAAAAAAAAAAAAGAACTTTTCTTCTTTCTTTAAAGTAGGCTCCATGCCCCACATGGAGCCCAATGTGGGGCTTGAACTCAAGAACCTGAGATAACACCTGAGCTGAGATCAAGAGTTGGACGCTAACTGACTGAGCCACCCAGGTCCCTGTTAAAAGAACTTTCCTTACTGAAAATTTCAGCACATTACAAAAACAGAATTGTATAATTAGGCCTTATGTGCCCACCATCACCCAGCTTCAAGACCAGCACATGGCTAATCTTGTCTCATCAATATCCCTTTCTTTCTACCCTCTCCCTGCTGAATTATTTCAAAACCACTAATAGATGTTATATGATTTCACCTACAAATACTTTAGAGTATGTATCTCTAAAACAGAAGGGTTTAGAAAAAAAAATATGTAATACCATTACCACATCAAAAGAATTATTCTCATCTAATATCCAGTTATCAATGTTACATTTCCTTGATTGTTTCAAAGAAGTTTTGAAAAATTTTATCTGTTTGAATCAGGACCCAAGTAAGGACCCATATATTAAAATTGGTTGATATATTTCTTAAGTCTCTTGTAACTGATAGGCTCTCTCATTTTCTCCCTGTTCCCTTTTATTTGTTGAAGAAATTGTCTTATTGTGTTTTATAGTCTGGACTTTGATGATTATAATCTCCCTCCCCCAAATGGGCTCATTTAACATGTCCCTTTGTCCCTAGTATTTCCTATATAGTGGTAGTTAGATCTCAAGACCTCATCAAGTATATCTGATAGAAAATTTATGTGCTTCCAACATGAGCCACATACTACCTAGCTGTCTTTCTTTTCATGATGTTAAAAACTACTCATGAGGGGCGCCTGGGTGGCTCAGTGAATTAAAGCCTCTGCCTTCAGCTCAGGTCATGATCTTAGGGTCTTGGGATCGAGCCCCACGTTGGGCTCTCTGCTCAGCAGGGAGCCTGCTTACCTCTCTCTCTCTGCCTGCCTCTATGCCTACTTGTGATCTCTGTCAAATGAATAAACAAAATCTTTAGAAAACTGATGATCTTTGGGGTTATGGACATTGGGGAGGGTATGTGCTATGATGAGTGCTGTGAAGTGTGTAAACCTGGCGATTCACAGACCTGTACCCCTGGGGATAAAAATATATGTTTATAAAAAATAAAATTAAAAAAAAAAAAGAAAACTGATGATCTTTGCTTAGACCTAATAATTCATTGGAAAGATTGCAATATGGTAATATTCCAGTTCTGTCATCCTTTCTTGGTATGTTAAATAGAATACTTCCATAAAGAGAACTCCCCCTCATCTCTTTTTGGTAACCTTGAGGTATGGTTCAGATAGGAAGGGCAGATAAATGTTTGTTTCTTTCTCTTTGTTGTCAGTTTTCACAGTAATCAATTGGTTCCCTAGCATCCTCCAAAGTTGACCAAGAAGTTTCTTTTTTTCTTGAGTACAATTATGAACTCATGGACTTCAACGTATCTGATGGGTTTCAATCTGCTGCAGTTATTACATTTACAGATGCTCAAGTGGGAGCCTCTTCAAGTTGTCTCTTAATTACTTAAACCCTATTATTAACTCCAGCATATTAAAAAAAAAATACTTTATTTATTTATTTGACAGAGAGAGAGACAGCGAGACAGGGAACACAAGCAGGGGGAGTGGGAGAGGGAGAAGCAGGCTTCCCGCCTAGCAGGGAGCCTGATGCGGGGCTCAATCCTAGGACCCTGGGATCATGAACTGAGCCAAAGGCAGGCGCTTAATGACCAAGCCACCCAGGGACCCCATAGCAGCATTTTTTAAAGCTTTCTGGATTTCTGAAATAATAAGATGTTGCCAGGCTTATCTCGTATATTTTCAGCCCCAAATCTGCAAT